GTCAGGTCTCTGGTAGACCGTGGTTATATGGTGATCGCGCACCTTCGCGGTGAGTATATGATCGCTGACCTGTTGACCAAATTGATGAGTGGACAGGTGTATGCAAAGCAAAAGGCACTTTGGGGTCTCCGACTGTTGGTACAAGGAACTGACTTGAAGAGGGCCTCGCTTGCAATGGCGGTCATGATGGTGGCTGCATCTCTGCAAGGGATGGCAACTGGTGGAGAAGAAGTGTCAAACGCTGGTTTCTTTTGCTCAGAAGAAGGGGTGTGCAAGGTCGCCAACACATCTACGGTTATTGTTCTGGCTCAAGGTATTGAAATGCTCGTCAACAATTCAGACCTTGTTGCGTATTTGGTGGCAGCAATTATACTCTGGGAGTTGGCATGGTGCCTCTTTCGGCAGCTGTATAAAAGGCTGTGGGTTAAGAAAGTGGTGGTTATTCCTGCGAGTGCCACTTTGTATACAACAGTGGGTGGGAACTGTATGCACGCAAGCAGTGACTGTGATGTTCTGCGATATTCACAGCCCAGGGCTAAGACGCTTTGTAAGCATTGCCTCAAGGATGGCTGGGTGGTGAATGCTGAGTTCCTTGGTGAGGAACGGGCCGCTGGAACGTGAATTTTTTCAAGTGCGAGGTGAAGAAATCCTCAATGGTAAGGGATTCGGCCAATGAGCTGAAGGTTCGTCCTGGATGACGTAAAACCATAATGTGCATTTCAAGCAGCTGGCTGCTGCCTAAATGGCGGTTTTTGGCCAAAGGTCTGCACCTCTAGGACAGGGGGAGTGCGGAGCTGCAGTTGGTATTGTAGAAAAGAGTTGGTGTTGAAAGTTGAAGGGTCAATGCACCCGGTAATTCTTTTGGCTCAAGGAACTTGGGCATGCGCCCTGAAGAAAGAAGTGTGTGTTGGTTTGGTGTTGGTTGGTCCAGGGGATCAAGGGCTTCTGTTGGGGTTGACTGTTTTGTTCCCTGTCCTCCTTCGGTTGCCCCCCGTACCCTAAACCCCATTAACCCTAAGCCGCATTCCCCAGTCCCTAATATCATGCAGGCCTAAACCCCCAGTTCTGCTCCGATCCCCAAACCCTAAACACAAAGCCCTATAAGCCACCCTGAACACAACAAAACCCTATAAGCCCTACAAACCCTGTAAGCCCTTTAAGCCGTATGAACCCTAAACCCTCAACACTATCAACCCTATAAGCCCTAGAAACCCTACAACCCCTTTAAACCCTAGGATCCCCAAGCTCAGCCGAGGCTGCAAGAAGCGACGCCCAGAGGATGGATATGCAGCTGCTCGGCGAGAACTAGAGCCATGGGAGACAAGCGCACCTTGAGAAGGGGGCAGAAGGGGGGCTTTGTCGACCGCTTGGGAGGCCGTTTAAGGCTTAAGAGGGTTTAGGGTTTGGGGTTTGGGGTTTAGGGTTTAGGGTAGCCCAGTCCCACACTTCGAAACCCGAAACCCCAAACACCAAAGCCCAAACCCCAAGCCCAAACCCCAAAACCTAAACCCTAAACCCTACATCCTAAACCCTAAACCCTAAACAAGCCCCACACCCCAAACCCCAAATCCTAAACCGTTAGCCCCGAAGCCCTAAACCCAACCAACACAGGAGGGCTCCAAGTAGCTTTCAAGTCGAGCTTCAGTTCTGCGGCCCTTAACGCTAGGGTTTAGGGTTTCGAGGGTTTAGGGTTTAAGGTTTCGGGTTTAGGGTTTGGAGGGTTTAGAGTCTTTAGAGGGTTTAGAGGGTTTACAGTTGAGGGTCTACAGGAAGCCCCTGAAGCGTCTTCGTAAATCCCCGTAATTTGTTGGGGTCTCCCCGACGACCTCCAGCACAAAAAAGCGCACATTGGCCCAAAAGCCCTCCAAGCTCTACGCCCGAAACCGGGTTGGCCAGGGGCGGGGGGGGGGGGGTTGGGGGTGGGGCCTAAACCCTAAGCTAGAAGCCATACACCCTAAAAAACTCCTGTCGCAAGCGCAACAGCTGACAAGGTCAAGGCCTTCGTGACCTCCCAAGGCAGACTTGCTTTGGAGTTTTCAGGTTTCTAGGGTCAACCCGAAACCCGAAACCCGAAACCCGAAACCCGAACCCCGAACCCCGAACCCTAAACCCTAACCCTAAACCCTAAACCCTCAACGGGTTTTGAGTTTAAGGGTTTAAGGGTTTTAGGGTGTTTGGGGCGGTCATCTTCGAGGACCTGGCAGTCCACGGTTGACGGGCTTTTGGGAGCTTAGGGTCTAGGGATATCTTGGGGGTTTTAGGGTTTTCAGGTTTTAGGGACTGGGTTTAGGGTTTAGGGTTTAGGGTTTAGGGATATCTTTTGGTTTTAGGGTTTTAAGGTTGTAGGGACTGGGTTTAGGGCTTAGAGAAGGTTAGGGTTTACAGATTGGTTTTAGGGTTTTAAGGTTTTAGGGACTGGGTTTAAAGGGCTGAGAGAAGGTTGGGGTTTAGAGAAGGAAGCTGCACCCTTCCTCGAAACTCACGATCCTTCACATGTCGCGGGTGTGCTTGCGGTCGGTTTGGGACACCCTAAACCCTAAACCCTAAACCCTAAACCCTAAATATGAGGAGACCACGCCTGCAGCCACGAGGTCTCAGCCTTTGTCGCAGTAGGGGCCTCTCCTGCAAGCTGCACCAAGATCCTTGGGGACGAAATGAACCCTAAAAATGGGGTCATAATCCCTATACTACTAGAATTCCTATTAAGGTATATGGACCATAAACCCTTTTAAGGTTCATTTGGTCCCCAAGGATCATGGCACCATGCCAGCGCAGTATCTGCCGATACTGCAATCGCAATGTTGGTTTGCTCTTTCTTCGCGGCCTGGGTGTCGCCTTGCGCCGCCACGAGCGACAGTGCAAGGCAGCGATGCACTTCTTCAACCACGAGGCGGCCCGAGCAGATGCAGAGCTCTCCGAGGAAAGGACTCACCCGTCATCAGAGGTAGACCCCAATGTGGCGCCACCTCTCACAGATGTTGCAGCGCAGCCTGAGGAGGAGCATGACAACCCGGACACCTGCGGATCGCCCGCTCAGCCCTCGGCGCCTTCTCAGCTGCAGGCCAAAGTCTATCTCTACATGTACGACCTTTTTGGCGGGCGGAACTTTGGTCGCATCCTCCTCGGTAAGAAGTTCAAGGCCCTTTGGCACACCGGCATCGTGGTGGAGTGGCCGGACAACACTTGCGAAATCTGGTATGACAACCAGATCTTTCTGTCACCTCCCGGGCAAACTCCCTTTCGTGCACCGGACGAGAAACGGCTGCTGGGAACCACCCTGGTGTCTCACGTTACCATGATCGAGTACCTGGCGAGCTGCGAAGCCGAGTGGACCGGCAAGTATGACCTGGCACGTCGCAACTGCGTGCATTTCAGCGACTGGGTGGCCCGATCGCTGCACCTGGCGGCGTTGCCAGATGAGCTGGTCGGGCAAGCGGCGGAAGTGATGCAGACGCCCGTGGCGCGCCTCGTTCTTGGCATTCTGCATGTGGCAGAACGGCTGCGTAGGCGTAAATGATGCCAGAATTCAATTAGCAAAAACGCATGGCACATGGCCTGGCCCGGTCGAAGAGACCCAAAGAAGTCTCTCCATTCCCGAACGGGAAGCTATGGAAACCGACACGCTGCTGACAGCCGCATCCACGGTGATGCCGATGATAAAATGAACGTAGAAACTTTGGAAACCCTCATGTTCTTGAACTGAGTCGTCAGTTGCTGCCCACGGCTAGGTCGCAAGCCGAAATGAAAACGATGACACATGTGAAGCACTTGGGGGGGGGGTTCTTCCATCCAGAAGGTTAAGGGTTTGTTAGGGTTTAGGGCGAGAGATGCAAGGTTAAAACTCTTTTGGTTCCCGGGGTGCGGGGCGACGAGTGGCTTGGTATCTTTGCAACTTGCCAGGAACCTAAGTGGAGACGCAAGAGTTCGAAAAGCCATAACTCCCGACATCTTGAACGATGCGTTGCAGAAAGCTCTGATTCCTAAGGCTTTAGACCCGAAATGTCCAACCTTTAATCCGTAAGCCCTAATCCTGAAACCTTAAACCCATCAGTCCTTTCTAATCCACAAACCTTCCCCCCAACCCCAAACTTTTCATTGCGTCATGCGTTATGCCCACGGGTCAGAAACCCATCGCCAAGGGCTTTAGGGCTTCGAGTACCTCAACCCTGAACCCTAAACGCGCAACCTTGAACCCCAAACCCTAAACCCCAAGCCCTAAACCCCAAGCCCTAAACCCCAGACCCCAAACCCTAAACCCCAAACCCGCAGCGAGGCCTCTACGACTTTGGCCCACTCCTGGCGGGCCGCGATCCGGCCACACGACAGCCGCAACCGGTCCCGGCGGTGACCTCTGGAGTGTTTTTTTTTTTTTTTGGGGGGGGGGTCGTAGCCTACCCAGATGTAGGTTTTAGGGCTTAGGGTTTAGGGCTTGGGGTTTTGGGTTTAGGGGTTATGGAAATAAGGGTTTAGAGTTTGCTTTGGGTTCTGAAGGCTCCAGCACAGTTCCTCCTTGGGGACCTGTAAAAAGGGCAGTTTCCACAGTCACAGTCTACAACACCAACAGACTGCGCTAAAGTCTTCAAGTATGCTGGTGCAAAACGGGGGGGGGGGGGGGGGGGGGGGGGGAGCGTTTTTTAATGAGATTATGGAGAGTGCTACTGCCACCCGCCAGTAAGAGCGTTTTTAGGATGTTCAGGACTAGTGCTGCGATCACCTAGCTGATGCGATGGAATCTACCCATTCGGTTTGCATCAACGTGGGCATCTCAAAGTCACTCTACCCGAAGCTCACCCTATGTCTGTGAGTGATGACAACTTTGCTTCAGTCAAAGACTGCGCTGTCGTATGTGTTGCTGTTGCTTACCCACCCACACGATTTCTGTTTGTCACTGTCACTGCAAGCACAGGCTTAGTCCATGCGAACTCCAGAAGCTATGTCGCTGGTATTATTGCCTCCCACACGACTCGCCACATCCGTGCCCCGGGCGCTGTTGTCCCGCCATGGCGGCCGAAATGCCTTTCCAGCATTCACGGATCCTCCTATCCACAGGCGTGAAGGGCCGGGGTGAAGTAACTCTGTTGAAGGGACAGCTTGTACTAAACCCCTACTAGGGGCTTCGTGCAAGGCTTAGGAGTTTAGGGATTTCGGGGCCTGGGGACGTACACAGGCTCAGGGTCTAGGGGTTCAGGGCCTTAGGGGTTTAGGGAGGGTTCGGGATTTGGGCTGAGGGCTTAGATCCAGCCTTGACCGCAGATCAGGCTTTCATGTGGCTGTCGATTTCAGGGCAGTCCTCGAGCCATGTTCCCTAAACTTTAGACACTGAGCTCGAAATCACCCTTTCTAAGGTAGGGTTCATGCTTCTGCTGTTGGATAGTGTATAGAGGCTTCTTTACAGAGATGAACCCTAAACCCCAAATCCCCCCAAAAAAAGCAAACCCCAAGCCCTAAACCCCAAACCCTAAATCCCAAACCCCAAAACCCCACAACCCTGAAACCCGAAGCCCCCAGAAGGCATCGACATGCACTACGTGCACATGGCGCCGCCCTCGCCAGCCAAGGGCCGCTCCACCCGAACTGGAGAACCAGACGAGGGGTTTTGGGGTGTAGGGTTTCAGGTTTAGGGTTATTGCATTTTTTCAGAGCTTAGAAGGAACTGACTTAGGAATGTAGGAATACTTCGAGATATGCTATACTTTCGATTGTGGAGGATCACACATCTTGAAGGGCCAACTTTAGCAGAGCAACGCCTTGACAAACCTTTCCCATTGCCTATACGCATGATACATTGGGATGTTCCCCCTTATACTAACAGTCCTTAGCAAGGATTGTAGGGTTTAGGGTTGCCATACTTGAAAAACTCAACAGGGTTCCCCTTCTGCCACCTGGGGGAAGACTCTGGGTTTCACATAACCTCCTGCTTAAGGATGGTTTCAGGAGGGCAGTTTCCAGATGCGGTACCTTTCATACATAGCAGGGGCTTAGGAGGAACTACGCTTTCATTCAGAGGGCGTTCACCAGAGTTGCCTCCTTTACCGCCTCCTAACCCTAAACCTTTTCAGCGCCAAACCCTATAAACCCCTTTGCCACTGCCTTCCCGCAAGGCACCGTGCTTTGCGTGCATGGCTTCCCAGACACCTGGTGCGGCCACCGATAGCCTGACTTGGTGGGTTTCGGGTTTGGGGTTTAGGGTTTAGGGTTTAGGGTTTAGGGTTTAGGGTTTAGGGTTTAGGGGGTTGTCGGGGAGACCATAAGGGAACCGGATTCTTGCAAGTACCTGAACAGCTGGGAAGCTCAGGTTTCTTTCGGGGGCGTGGAGGTTGTTAGGGTTTAGGATTTGAGGTCTCAGGGTTTGTGAGGCTTCCTAGGGCCTTGGGGCTGAAGCAGTTGGGGCTTCCGGGTTTCAGGGGTTTAGGGTTTTAGGGTTTAGGGTTTAGGGTTTAGGGTTTAGGGTTTAGGGTTTAGGGGTCTAGGGTTCACCACACCTACGTACCCCGAGCTACTATACTCCAACTGGAATCTGCGGAGCATAAACCCCTTCTAGGGTTCAGTAGATACCAAGTAGTTCTGAAGAACTTGACAGCCTTGTGCGCGCTAGGGTTCAGTGTCCCGTGGCATCTCTGCTCACTAAACCTCATAAGGTCCAGTAAGGTTTAGGGGCTTATCTGCGTTGTGCTTTGGGATAATTTCGAATTTCCCGTCTTCCCTTAGAAACCTATTCATAAATAATTTTCAAAGGGATTAACACACAACCCGGTTATAGGGTTCTCAGAATAGTGGCCGCAGCTTGTCGGTACTCTGCAAGGCTCTGTATTGCAACAGGGTCACAAACAGAACGGCCCAAGGCACCTAACACCCCCGAACCCCTGAAGCCTAACCCGCCCCTCGAAACCCCTCAACCGCCGTGTGGATGATGCTGTGAAACCCTCAACCCTAAACCCCCTGAACCCTATAAACCCTATAAACCCTATAAACCCCATAAACCCTATAAACCCTATAAACCCTATAAACCCTATAAACCCTATAAACCCTATAAACCCTATAAACCCTATAAACCCTATAAACCCTAAACCCTAGCCCCAAACCCTAACCCCCAAAGAGCCCTACAAAACTCGACTCTGGGGAGGTACGGCTTTCGGCATCAGATACGGGCCCTGGCGTCCCACGGCGTCGTGGCCGGCTGTTGCTGCTTCGGGGTGCAGGGGGTTTTAAGCATTAGGGTTTTGGGTTTAGGGTTGAGGGTTTTGGGTTTTGGGTTTAAGGGCATCTTTAATATTAGCATTCTAGCGCGTATTCGTTCCTTGATTACGGGGTTCAGGAGGCTTGAAAGCGCAGGGCTTAGGGCTTTTGGAGATGTAGGGTTCGCGGCTCCAGGCTACAGGTGCTTGTGCTTGAGGGTTTCACGTAGGGCTTGGGATTTACGAACTGAGTCTGAGGATAGGGCATAGTACGATGCCTCGCGCTGGAGCTCGAATGACGCAACCTCCTATGTCTCCCGAAACTGCAGGCTTACCTGATCATACCTTTTTGGGATCCGTTTCGTGCGGGGATCCTTCTCTTTGTCGGGGGGTTTATATTCAGAGTCCCTACCCCTGAATCCCGAAACCCAGCCCTACACCCCTTAAATGCCATAAGCCCTAAACGCCAGACCATGGGATGCAGCCGCAAACGTAGGGAAGGTTTAGGGTTCAGGGTTTAGGGTTCAGGGTTTAGGGTTTAGGGTTCATTAGGGTTCATTAGGGTTCATTAGGGTTCATTAGGGTTCATTAGGGTTCATTAGGGTTCATTAGGGTTTATTAGGGTTTAGGGTTTAGGGTTTGAGGTCACGTAAAAGCCCTGAATCACTGAAGCTGCAACTATAGATGAAGCGGCCCCAGGCTGGAACGTCCTGGTGCCCGACCAGCGAGGATATGGAGAGACTTCGGCGCCTCTGGGCGACCCTGGGAGGTACTGCATGGAGGACCCTGTGTACCTTGGGGACCGAATGCGGGTTTAGGGTTTAGGGTTTAGGGTTTAGGGTTGGAGGACCCCGTGTACCTTGGGGACCACATGAACCTTAAGATTGGGGGTCACTTATCCTATGCACGGCGAAAATTCTTATTAAGGTATATGAACCATAAACCCTGTTAGGGTTCGTTTCGTCCCCAGGGTAGGGTTCAGGGTTTAGGGCTGAAACAACAACCCTTGGCCCTACATCCTGAAGCCGAGGGCTTAAAGCCCTAAACCCAAGCTCCTAAAACGCATCAGAGTTTGAGGTGCTTCGGGAATTCGAGGGAAGATCTGCTTCGAAGGTTGGGAACCTGCACTGTGACAAGTTTAACTTATTTTTCCCCAAAAGGAAACAGAATTCAGGGTCTAGGAGGCCTTTTGCACTGGTGGAACCGTACCTATAGTGATTTTAGGGCATGTTGTACCGTATGATCCGGATTAAACAGGGTACCTAGCTCCCCAATTCGCCACGAAGAACCACCTAAACCCTAAACCCTAAACCCTAAACCCTAAGGCTACCTGCGCACGAGCTGTCAACCAGAGCCGTTCTTGTGGTTTTGTTCTTCTTCTTCTTCTTCTTTTCGGGTTCTCGGTACCGGATGCTCCAGTTCAGTTGGGGAGAGTCTTTCACTGGGGGCCCGTGTACGGTCTTGTGAGGTCGCCCGAAGCCCTAAACCCTATACCCCAAAATCCTAAATCCTAAGCCCTAAACCCCAAACCCGAAACCCTAAACCCCAAACCCTAAACCCTATAAACCCTACCAAACAAGCCCTTAGCCCGCGTCCTTGCCTGAGCTGTGCCAGGAGGTCTGCGGAGACATGTGCGCGCTGCTGGATGCGTTGGGCATCGCCAGTGCAGTGGACGACATGATGTAGACAGAGTCGTAAGGGTGCACTGTGGTGCACTAGGCTCATGGGCGGGTTTAGGGTCTTGGGTTTGGGGTTTAGGGTTAGGGTTTAGGGCTAGAGCTACGCCCTTAACCCTAATCCTCCCCCCCCCTGCGAAAGTACCCAGGTGTGGTGCTTCTTGGGCACGACTGGGGTGGCACTCTGGTGTGGAACATGGCCCAGCTGCGTGGCTCTTCAGCGGGTTTAGGGTTTAGGATGTAGGGTTTGGGATTTAGCGGCTTAGGGTTTAGGGTTCAGGGCTCAGGGTCGAAGTAAAAGTTTTAGGGCTCGTTAGGTTTAGGGTTTAGGGTTGCCCTGCAGAAGTGGGCTCGCACGTTGACAAACGAAACAGAAGCCCACATCGTTGGCAATATTCTCAAATCAAGATCCTATAGAAACGAGGCAGCATCCCAGCCGCGTGCTCGCTGTGGCGTCCGTCTGCACCCCCTTCTTTCCGAACAACCCGGAGAGGAATCCCTGGTGTGGCCTCCCAGATGTCTTTTGGGGTTGAGGGTTTATCTATACCCCCACGTACCCCTTTTTGAGATGCCCTAATTATCCCTCCATGGCCCTTAAGGCCTTAAGATTGTTTAGGGTTTAGGGTTTCGGGGTAAGGGCTTTTTGGGGCCTTAGGGTCCAGGGCTCCAGGCCTTGAATGCCTCCCCTTAAAAAGCCCTGGGATCCTACACCTCACACCTTGCCCCTTAAAGCCCTGAAAGCCCTTAGAGCTCTTCAAGCCCTTAGAGCCCTTGGAGCCCTTAAAGCCCTTCAAGCCCTTAGAGCCCTTATCAAGAGCCCTTGCGCCCGAAAACAAAAAGTTGCCGATGGGCCTCCAAGCAAACACCTCAAGCAAACACCCGTCATCAAGAGTTGTCAAAACAGGTGGTTATTTTGTAGCTTGGTGCCCTAATGCTAGAAGAATGCTATAGAAGCCGTCGGGTTTACTCCTCCATGGACCCCTCAGGGAGAAGATGCGTGTGAGCCCTGGACGCTTCGACTACCAGGCTGCAGTTGGGCTGTTCGGGGCTGGGGTTCATTGAAGGCTTGTAGGGCTTTCGCGGTTAGGGTTTAAGGTTCTTGCCAACGAGTGAGGGACCTGGCAAGTGGCGAAGCGGCCACGTTCATTAAATGAGTGTGACAATATTCCCTAAGCCGACAGGATCTCTGCAGGAAAGGTTGCCTAGCAGGCTGCGCATACCGAGAAATCGGCAAGGGCGAGGACAGCTTGCGGCACTGAAGCCAGAGACCGGCTCCTCAGACTCCAGCCCTTCTATCTGCGCGCCGCTGAAGCCTTCGGGGCATCCCTTCAACCCGACACCGCGTCCTGTGGCCCCCAAACCGACGTTGAGGAAGCCAGGCACGGAAGGGCTGTGTCAGACGTAAGGTCCATGGATTGTCGGTTCAAGCTCGAGAAAAGGACACGGCTCAATTGAGCTCGTTCTGTGGACCTGCCTATGCACGTGCATGTAGGCGCGACCCCAAGCCCCACCTAGGGAAGGTTTAGGGCTTAATTAGGGCTCACGGTTTCGGGCAGCCATCCCCCAAAAAACGCCTAACACCTGAAGCCACATATCCCCAAACCCTATCTGGAACCCTACACCCAAACCCTATAAACCCTAAAGCCCCGACCCCCGGAAGTCCCCAGGTGCCGGACCTGGTGCCAGCGTTCGGATTGTGGGATGCTTAAATTTGGGGGCTTGTAGGCTTTAAAGCCTCCTACATGATTAGAAGGCCCCTGAAGACTTCTAAGTAAATGGTACAAGAAACCCAAAATGCAAAAACTAGCTGCAATCAGCTGAGGCTACTTGTGAAGACCCAGGGACGGACCTCCAAGAGTACAGCCCTTCTAACCTCCACGTTTCGAGACCCGGAGCCCAAAACCCCCCCAAGCCCTGTTACAGGTGTGGTTCCAGTCTGCGGCAGCAGAGGCAACCTTTGTGGGTCAAGGGTGTGGGGAGAGGGGGGGGGGGGGTGTTTAGGTTTCAGGGGTTAAGGGTTTATGGTTCTTGCCTAGGGGTTTAGGTAGGTTTTAAAAGGGGAAGGGCGCTTGTGGTTCGGAGACGTGAAGACACTCGGACGAGCGCCAGGCCGAGCTTTCCGCGGATCCATACTACTCAGTGAAGTGCACGATAAGGCGTGTGGGGTGGGTGGGGGACAGCACGGGAGATGGCCAGGGTTCAGAAGATGTTGCATCTTACGAGTTTTCCTTTGAAGGCCCTTTTGGGTGCTTCTTGAAACGGTGCCGTACTAGATCGGGGACCCAAAAAAGGCGCCCTGATTTAGGGTTAATGTTGGGAGATGCACTAACCTTAAACAAGCCGAAAATCCCCTTGGCAGGGGGACTGATGCAGATGATGTGGCGGACTCAGCACAGCACTGCCTTCAATCGCCGCCCTAAGTCCGGATGTGTCGCATTTCGTTCCTATAATCCCTCTAAGCTCTCTAAACAAGAGCCCAGACTGGAATCGACAGATGATGAAACAGGGTTTACAAGATTCCTTGTATAGCATTGGCTTGGGTGTCTTTTTTTGGTGGATACCGGCAAAAACTACCCTAACCTAAGCCCTGCACCGATATGTCACGAGTGGTAGGGAGCCTCCAGGAGCTTTCCAAGAGCGTCCAAGGGCTTCAGGGCCTTTAGAGCCTCAGGGACTTCCTCAAGTTACCCCTCAACAACGTTCCTTCGCGGCCCGCGAAGCCTAGCTCGGGCTTGCGTGGTCTCGCGCTCGACTGCACATGCCTGTTTACCCCAGGGGATGCCAGCGGGTTGAAGAGAGCCCTCAGCCATCTCCACAGCACGCGACGTTTCCGGTGCTTTTACGAGGCTCTTGGTGCGACCTCTTGTGGCCTTCAGTGAAACGCGGACCACCCTTGAAAGGGAAAGTTCGCCTTCAACAAGACTTCCCTCAAGACCTTCAATGTGGCTAAAGTTCGTAAAGCCCTAAGCCCTAAACCTTAAGCCCAAAGCTAAGTTGAAGCGCCTCTTGGACGCCGCCGACCGAGAGCTGATCGCCCAAGCGCCCACGGTGAAAGGCGGAGCATAGGGTTGGTCTAGAGTTCTCTAAATTGGGGCCCTTTGTTTGGGTTTTGTGAATGAGGGCGCCATAGATTGTAGGGGACTCTCTTAGAGAACTGCCCGAAGGATTGTTAAAGGTTTCATGTCTCTAGTCAGAGTGTACATAGCGTCCAAAGCTGAAGTTTCACGATTTCGGACGTTGAAGCTGTTTTATGCTTCATATAGGCCTGAAACGGATCCAGGGCACAGGGTTTCGGGCTCAGGGGTTAAAGATGCCAGGGCTTCGGGCCGAGTCATCAGGGTAAATGAGGCTGCTTTAGATCAGAGTCACGCGAGTTGATATGCAGTGTTAGTCCTGAGTTGCCTTGGCTGAAGCTTAGGTTTTTGTATGTTGCTGGAGGAGCCAAAGGCTTTCTTTCGATGCGAATAAGAGCGAAGCTCTGGCCCCAAGGGACGTTCCCGACATACTTACAATGCATCATCATGCATCCCCGTACCTGCTAATTTAGAGACTTGTGACGATATCAAGAGTGCAAGTTGCCTTCATTATTGGTACGCCGGCCCAAGTATTGACATACGGGTTTAATGACTTAAAGGCCGGAGCATGTAGGCTGCATCCTGCTTCTGTTTGATTTTGGGTGCTGGACATTAGGTTCTGGGTTGAAAAACGCACAGGATACATCCCTTCAGGAGTAGGATGTGGGGATTGGATGTGTGATTTCACTTGTAGGTTTCACGGTCAGCTCTAGTCTGTAGCAAACCTGCGACAATCACAAGTCTTGAGAGCCTCACTCGGGAGGTGGGATTCTGAAAGGCATGCCGCCCAAGGCGCGATCGCAACGGTGGAGTGAGGGGGGGTGGGGGGTGGGGGGTTAGGTCACGGGTTTAGGGTGGCACTGCTTGAAGGTTCATGTGTAGTTTAGGGTGAGAAGCACCAGTTACAGCAACAGATGCCGTGCTTTTCACTTGATTCTCCCCGGTGAAAGCCAAACATGGAAGATTCCCCCCTATGACGTAACAAGAAGTTCTTTTTTTCTCTTAGTGAAGAATTCCAGTTTCCTCTACACCATAAAGGCACCATTTTGTATCAGGGTTGGGGGGGGGCAAGTTTAGGGTTAGCCTTCAGGGCTTAAGGGCGGGGCCATGACATAGTGTCAAGCGGGCAAGATGTCGCCACTCTCTCTCTCTCTCTCTCTCTCTGAGATCTGAAGCCCTAAGCCCTAAACCCTAAGCCCTCAACCCTTACTCCAGTCGTCAGGAAGCCCGCTCGACCTTCAGGGTTTCAGGTTAAGGGAGCTCCAGGTTCAAAGCACCCTCAAAGCAAAGTAAAGAGAAACAAAAGCATTGTTTCACATGGGCAGTTCTCTAAACTAGCGTCCCTTTGAGGGTCCTTTTATTGTAGGGGCGTCATACTATACGTAGGACCCCAAACAAGGGATCCCAGCATCCTAAACCCTAAACCCTAAACCCTAAACCCCCTAAACCCCCTAAACCCCCTAAACCCTTAAACCCTAAACCCTAAACCCCCTAAACCCCCTAAACCCCTAAACCCGCTAAACCCCGAAACCTCCTAAACCCCCTAAACCCCTCAACCCCAACCCTAAACAATCAACCCTGAAGTTCTGACTTCCAAAGCCAGAGGCCCAATGCCCCCGTTCGGAGATCCTTTCGGAGGAGGAGCTGCGATCCTGGGCGGCACGGCTTTAGCGAAGGGTTTAGGGTTTGGGGTTTGGGGTTTAGGGTTCAGGGTTTAGGGTTTAGGGTTGTGATCAATCCTCCAGGGTCGCCCCAAGCCGGGAACCCTGAACATATCGTAGGTATCTAGTAGGTGTTACCATGTAGAGAGGTTTTTTTTTCAATGAATACATCAAAGATAACATATAATATACATAAACGTATGTATGCATGTTGGGTAACTTGCTTGGGGGTTCGTGTGAGGGCGCTTCCTTGTAGCTTTGTGATGGGGTCCAGAGTGTAGGGATCCAAATCCAGCCGAAGCACCTCCCCGAGGATACTACGCCGCGCAGTTCACGCGGTCGGGCTACTTCGGCCCCCTGAGCTGGTATCGCAACGTTGAGCGCGCCTCGTCCTTTTTCGGGGGTCTGGACTCTCGGGTCTCTTCGTGGGTCTTCGGGCCTAGGCTCTCGTGGATTCGGAGGGCTAGTTCGGGTTTGAGTTGAGGGTTTGGGGGTTTGGGGTTTGGGGTTTAGGGTTTAGGGTTTAGGGTTTAGAGTTACATTGAGCCTCGGGAACTGCTGGCGTAGCGCTTGCAGCTGCTTGGGATGCCAGTGGGCCCGTTGTTCCTCTACTCCCGACTTGAAGTAGGGTTTATACCCCCGTTATTGATGAGTGTATATAGGCTTCCTTGTAGCTATTTCGTGAGTGTTTTTCTTTGTTCTGTTGGGGTTTCTAGATCACCCGTTCCACATGACACGATCTTCTAGTTTCATGTGCCTCAAGATTGCATGAAGCCCAAGCGAACCCTAAACCCTAATTGGAATTTCCAAACGTCGCAAGGTAATATGGGGGTCAGAATAAATACTAATAATGTTCCCTTATGGTCCCTTTCTAAATGTACTAGAATACCCCCCAGAACCCTATTCCAATTTTCAGGCCCCTACATTAGTCATAGCGCAGAGCAGTGGAGATTCCTGGAGATGTTTCTGCAATCTTCAAGGCATCGTGGAAGTCGTAGCCGGAGGGCCCTCGCCCTTATCCCACAAACCCCAAACCCTACTGTAAACCCTGAGCCCTAAACCCTACACCCTAAACCCTAAACCCTACTGTAATCCCCGAACCCTGAGTCCTAAACACAGACACGCGGGGGAGGACTAGAGCCCGAAACCCTGCAAAGGTAACTGGAGGTGGATGTGTTCCACGGCCGGACAGAAGGCTCAGCAGTGCAGGGTTTAGGGTTTCGGGTTCAGGGTTTAGGGTTTAGAGTTTAGGGTTTAGGGTTTCGGGTTCAGGGTTCAGGGTTCAGGGTTTAGGGTTTAGGGTTAGGGTTTACCTCACCCCCGAAAAACCGGAGGCAATACTTAGCGAGTTTAGGGTATGGGGCTGAGAAGGCCAATCGGTGAAAGCCCAGCATCGACTGTAACCACTGAAATTTCCTACGTCTTTGGGATTCTTTTGGTTCTGAGAGCCAGGTTGCATGGTACAGCTGGTACCCTATGTGTGGGAAATGCCCATGTTGGGCTAAAGTTAGAGTTCCCTAAACCCCGCAAGCCCTATAAACTCTACACACGCAGCCCTACACCCTCAAGCGTCTACAAGCCTCGAACTCAAACCAAACCCTTCTACTCCAAGCTCCCCTAAGCCCAAAAACCCTGAACACTCAACCCTGTACCCTAAATCAGCCCGAACCCCGCGAGGCCATAAACCCTAACCCCTAAACCCTAAACCCTAAACCCTTCAACGTGCAGGTCCTACAGCCGGCGCTGATCCTCTCTGCGGGCCGCGACCCGACCCTGAAGGCGAGCATGGTGGAGTCGCTGAAGATGAAGGACTCTCGGGGGTTTTTGGGGGGAATTCGTTTAGGGTTTAGGGTTTGGGGTGTGGGGTTTTAGGGGTTTGGGGTTTTGGGGGTTTAGGTTTAGGGTTTAGGGTTTTAGGGTTTAGGGTTTAGGGTTTAGGCTTTTTAAGGGTCTTGGCTTGGATGTTCATGGGTTTACATATGCCAAAGTTCTGGCTGTAGCTGTGGCTTTCTTACTTCGTAAACCCACTAGCAGTGAAGCTCGGGAGGGAGGCTGGAACGCGGTTTAGGGTTTAGGGTTTAGGGTTTAGGGTTTAGGGTTTAGGGTTTAGGGTTTAGGGTTTAGGGTCTGAAGGAGGGAGGCTTGGGAAGCGAAGGCTTGTGTTGGTGAAGGAGCTCCGGGGCTTGCGCTGCGGAGACGGTTTTTAGGGGGAGGGAGCCCTTGGCTCCTTGAGTTTGAGGCTTCTGGGTTTGTGGGATTTGGGGCCCGGGCTTCGTGTGCCGAATTTGCTTGTGTCTTTCAATTCCTAGGGCACCCTATAAACCCTATAAACCCTATAAACCCTATAAACCCTAACCCTATAAACCCTATAAACCCTATAAACCCTATAAACCCTATAAACCCTGTAAACCCTATAAACCCTATAAACCCTATAAACCCTATAAACCCTATAAACCCTATAAACCCTATAAACCCTATAAACCCTATAAACCCTAAACCCTAAACCCAAGCAAACCCTAAAACCCTAAAAGCCCTTTGGGCAGGAGTGGATTCCGGGGCTTGTGCACCGGCACATTGAGGAGAGTGGCCACTGGGTGCTGCAGGAGCATATGCCACTCCTGATCCGCAGGGTTTAGGGATTGGGGGGGGGGGGGGGGGGGGGGGGTCAGAGGTTTAGGGCTCAGGGTTGTGAACCCTTACCCCCCCCCCCCCTTACCCCCCAAAAAAATAGAAAACGTAGCTGAAATCACCTTTTTAAGGAGAGTGTTTTCAAGATTTTTGCGGGTTCCTGAAGGAAACCCTTGGATGAGTAGAGCCATTCGTACTCCAAAAAAACCCTTCGTGCGCAAGCCCTCCAAAATTCAAAAGGTCAGAAGGTAGTACTCAGTAGCCGAGCAGGAAGCTATTGGCCATCTGCCTTTTCCGCCCCTCCATGACCAGGTGTATTAACTGGGATGTGGAGTGCTATACTTTAATACAGTTTTTGGTTCTGGGTTCCTCTTCTAGCTACTTATATACCTGAGAAGTATATACTATTTTCCAGGGTCTACGCCAAAGTAGGGTGAAAGCAGCAGTCTATCAGGAGCCTGCTACCCTCAGGACATACCAGGGTGCACTGTTACTGCAAGTGAGAACATCGCAAGTCCCTAAACCCTAAACCCTAAACCCTAAACCCTTGGTTCTGTCCAGGAGAAGCCAGAAGATGCCAACAAGTACATTTGCGACTGGTCCACTGGCTGCAGACTGTGGATGTCGGGTTGAGGGGTTAGGGTTGAGGGTGTAGGGAGGGGTTAGGGTTGAGGGTGTAGGGTCTAGGGTTCAGGGTTGGGGGTTTTGGATTCTGTGGAGCTGGTATGGCTCATGGTTTGCAGAGTTGCGGTCGTCTGCCGATTGTTTTGCTGATGTGGGCCTGGGCATCAGGATAGACCAATCAACTCTAAGGCCTGAACTCTGAAACCCTAAACTCGAAACCCTGAGCCCTGACTTCGACAACCCTCAGCTCCAAACCCTGAGCCCTGATTGAAACAACCCTAAACTCTAAACTCCAAACGAAAGGCTTTACAGCTCCAAATCCCTAAACTCTAAACCCGGAGTAGAATGGATCGACCAGCGGTAGTGGATTGAGTTGATGTAGGGTTGAGGGCTAAGGGGCGTTTGGGCTTTCGGGGCGCAGGGCCTGGAGAGCGAAGGGCTGCCCCCGCGCGTGAAATCTGACCTCTGCACTCCAACTTCCTGAGACCATGGTCTTATATGGGTTGGTGGTCTCTTTAAGTAGGGTTTCTGTTTTATAGGGGGTTCTTAAAAGGGTATCTAGGCGCTGTATTAGGGTATAAGGGTAACAGATAAAGAGGCCACCGGCCTTTATAACCATGGTCCCTCAATCAGAGAAAGCCCCCTTCACCCTCATGTAGGTTGGACTCCCTGCCGGCGGCAGCGCGGACGTCGCGGTTGTGATCGCTTTCGCCGAAAAAGCCTTGTTGTTGCGGGGCATGGGATGCGAGTCCCAGATTTGGTGCGTCAGGCTTGTGTGGGTTTGTTGGTCTAGGGAGTAGTTGGGCTCACAAATAGTCGCTATATTCGTATTTATATATGCATGCAAACGTGCAGCTATATGTATAGAGTATGTAGCTCTCATCTGGGTAATCACACCTTCTCTGCAACCTTGAAGCCTCCAAGCTCCAACCCAAAATCTAGGATTCGACTTCGCCTCTACCCTAAACCCTTAGGGTTAGGGTTTAGGGTTTAGGGTTTAGGATTTAGGGGTCCACTGCGCGCTCCCCTGCCTTTGTGGCGTGTAAGGTGGAGGAGCCACCTGCGCCCGAGCCTGGCGCAGAAGGACCCGCTGCGTGGAGGGGGGGTTTAGGGTTGAGGGGCTGGGGTTGAAAGGGTTTTAAGGATGGACCCTGCAAAGGGACGTTAGGGGTTCTTTAGGGGTTATTGAGGGGCTAATGACATTAGGATTATAGGGACTATATAAGGTATATATAGGGGTTATATAAGGGAATAAGATTACGGGCCCCTTCTAGGCGTCCCTCCTTTATACCCCTCAAGTTGAGGGTCTAGTGTTGAGGCCTTCCTGAACCTTGCACCGGCCCTCTTGAAGGCCCCACAAGTTCCCAAGCAATCCTTCTGGTCTGGGGTCACTAAAACATTCCAATTTTTAAACGCACATTCCCACTTGGAGTTTCATGTGCCGGGTACGACGGGAGGCAAGAAGTTAAATGTTAGGTGTTCCGAATGGGGGGGGGGGGAGAGTTCATAAGTAAGTAGGGTGGCTATACCCTTTCCAAGGGAACTTAGAGAACTTAGAGATCTCAACCTGCCACTCTTCATGGACCTCCAAGGAAGCCCACTCCTACTTGGAGAAAACACCCTGCGACCTACGAGGGTTTAGAGTTCAGAGGTAGGAATGCTCTAGGTTCCGTTCTACTCTAGCAGCCTCTGGCAGTGCCTCAGCTGATAGCAATTCAAGGGGAGGCAGTTTACAGCAACCAGCGCCGGAATATCCGTCTCAAAGAATCTCAAGCCCCAAACCCTACAAGCAAGGCCCTAGACCCGAAACCCCCCAAAACCCCCCAAAACCCCCCAAAAAACCCAAAACCCAACACCCCAAAACCCTAAACCCCAAACCGGAGAAGCGCGTCCGCAAAAAGGAGCTGCGGCAGCCGGACGGGCCCTGAGTTCAGGGTGCGTTCGGTGCTACGGTTTAGGGTTTAGGGTTTATAAGGTTTAAGGTTTAGGGTTTGGGGTTTAGGGTTTAGGGTTTAGGGTTTGGTTTCAGAAAAGCGGGTTTAGGGCAAAAAGCCCCCGAAACTAGGGGAGGCCCTTCAGGATCATTAAAGGAAATAGGATCTACCGAGTCTGAATAAGAGGGCTCATTCTTGTTTAGGTGCCCAAACCCTAAAGCCTAAACCATAAGCCCCTTTGAGCCTACCAGCAAGTTTTCTCAGGCTCGGCGTGCTCAGGGCCAGCTCTATACACCTATGGACATGCTAACGCCCACGGGTTTTGAGGGTGTTCTGTTCCACCAAAGCCCCCAAAACCTTAAACCTGAAACCCCAAGCCCTAAGCCCTTGACCCTAAACTGGGGGAACAGTTTACATTTTTAAGGGTACTTAAACTCAAAGGAGTAGAAATCTATTTTTACATACTATCCCAACCCCCCAAAGCTCACCCTAAACCTTAAACCCTAAACCCTAAACCCTAAACCCTAAACCCTAAACCCTAAACCCTAAACCCTAAACGTCCCTGGCTTGCCAAGGAGGGGACGAAGAGGTTGTGGAAGAGCCCGCGCCGCCTGCCGGGGCCTTTGGGGAAGAAGCCGATGTTGCCTCCCTTACGTTTGGGGGTTTAGGGTTTAGGGTTTAGGGTTTAGGGTTTAGGGTTTAGGGTTTAGGGTTTAGGGTTTAGGGTTTAGGGTTTAGGGTTTGGGGTTTAGGGTCTTTCAGGCCTTCGGGTTGACACATCTCTGGACTCTTCAAACTATGGCTGCTCCGTAGGGCTTGGGGATGTTTGGGGCGTAGAGGTTTCGGCTATACGGTTTTGGGGTTTAGGGTGTCGGGTTAAGGGTTTAGGGTTTAGGGTTTAGGGTCATTGTTCCAACAACCCTTTACAAGCTAATCTTGGACCTGCTTTAATAATGTAACCCCCCCCCCTCCGCCCCCCTCAAACAGTGGAGGACCCTGAATAAAACACAACCCCAAACAGTCAGGCAGGGAAGGGGTCAGGAGATTGAACCAGATCTCAAACCAAGAACTTGGACCTCAAGAACCATTTTAAAAACCAGTCACGGCCCGAAAACTTTTCATTATAGTGTACCCCCAAAACAAAGGGCCAAGATCCTGAATAGCCGAAAAACTTTTCACAATAGCGTCCGCCTAGAATATTGCGGGTGCAACATTAATTGAGTGCGTACCGAAGCGTAGTTTTGGAGGGTGCTTCAGGGTGGCCCCACCCCACGCCCGTGCCTAGACCCCCGATTTTTTGCGGGTGCCTTTTTTCCTGGAGATAGCCTAGCAACCGCAGAAGTTAGGTGGTCGCCTCCCCCCCCCCCCCCCAAAAAAAAAAATGCAATTAAAAACAATCAATGTCAAGGAACTCTAGGGGCGTTCAGGAACAGCCGCAGCCTCCTGAGGAAGTGCAGCTGCAGGCGCTGAGCCCGCACGTGCTTCGGCACGCCGAGAGCAGCCCCGACTCCAGTTGCGAAGCTGTGAACGGGCGGACCCTGGTTTAAAAGGGGCTTAGTTTTCTACTGTTGCTTAAGAACCCCGAAAAATAAAAACATGTTCTTCCCTTTAAGGGTAATGTGTTTTTTTAAAGAAATTATTTTGGGGTTCTTAAGCAAACAGTAGCTTTTCACAGGGTTGCCGACTTAGGCTTCGAAGATCGGATAGACATGTTCTGAAGGTGTGCAGCCGTTCACCAAGCTAAAATTCACCCACACCCGGCCGTCTATTTCGTCAGAAGAACATCGCGTCCCCAACTTCAGGAATTTTGCGTTCGGGTTCTGGGCTGTCATTCAACATGTGTGCTACTGTACATACTCTAGACTCCGGAAGGCTAAGTACAGAAAGCAGTCATCAATAAAAATGTTCCATTTGCTTACCAGCAACTGCTGCCAGTATTTGTTGGAGCACGCCAGGCATTCGCATCACGAACGACTCGCTGTTCCCAGCAAACGTACGTCTGGGCACGGGGCTCGACATATCCCGAAACCCATGGCCCAAAACCCTTTAAGCTTTCTAAGCCCTGCACCTCGCAAACCCAATCCCAAAGCCCGGTAAGCCCCAAAAAGCCCCATAAAATCCGATCCGATATCTTTTTTTAGGACTCTTTCTGTTGTGGGCCAGACGTTGACGGCTGAGCTCTCGAGTTAGCAAGTGCTGGCCAATGAAGACAGCCCCCCCCCCCCCCCCCCTAAAATGTTGATGCCGGCCATGAGGCCTATAAAGCCTGTCCTTGTAGGAATCCGGGCTAATCCCCTGTACTCCTAAACCCCACATTTCACAAGAGCTGTACAAACCCCAATTGGGCAAAAAGCTAAGCCCTACTTATCCCCCAAAAACCCTAAACCCTAAGCCCCATAACCTAAACCCCAAACCCTAACCCTAAAGCCTATAAACCCCAAACTCCTAAACCCTGAAGCTCGAACTCCTAAACTCTGAACCCTAAACCCTAAGCTTCTAAACTCCTAACTCCTAAAACCTAAAACCCGAACCCAGGCCTGGCATCCGCTGGCGGAGACTTTGCCGTCGGGGCCGTTCGGCTGGAAGACGTGTAGGGTTTGGGGTTTAGGGCTAGGGTGTAGGGTTTAGGGTTTAGGGTTGAGGGTTTAGGGTTTAGGGTTGAGGGTTCGCAGCATTTTGGTGTTCATTGGTTAGGGTTTAGGCTTTTGGGGCTTAGGGTCGGGTTTTCGTTTCGGCCGGGCCTTCTGCTCGCGGGTTTTGCTTCTGCTTGCTCACAAGTAATGCGGAAGCTAGTGAGCGCTTAGGGTCGGAAACACACCCAATAGTCTGACCGTGCCTTACACGCTAGTGACCAGTATTCCCAAACGCATACTAGCATTAGTATTCCCCAAGCATCGGATGGTGAACCAGCTATGCTAGCAGGTCAGGTTCTCGGCATGAGAGACTCAATTCGGCTTCTTGTCCCGAGGAACCGGTTGAAGAAATGAGGACAATAACCCTAAACCCTAAACCCTAAACCCTAAACCTTAAACAAGTGACTGCAGTAGATCAGGAAGCCCTAAGCCTACCTGGGAACCTGAAAGCCAAGGACGACATCAAAGGCCCCTCGCCATTCATCGTGGAGCCGGACAACATCAAGTTCCCTGGCTCCGGTTTCAAGTAAGGAAGGTGCCTGAGCACTTAGAACAGTTATTTTTATTCTTCTTCCTATTACTATTGTTATTATTACTACTATTTTTATTATTCTTCTTATTACTATTGTTATTATTACTATTTTTTTTTGGGGGGGGGAGTTATTCTAGTGTAGCTGTAAAGGAACCACAAGGGACTACCCTTAGTTGTTTTTTCTCTCCCCGACCCCTATAGTAGGCCTGTTGCATTTGCCCTGCATAGCGGCCGCCTGCCATGATGTCCGCACCAAGTGGTGGCAATCGAGCTCGGAGTATCAACCCTCAACCCCAAACTCTCAACCGAGGTTACTCTGGTTAATCTGGGGAGGGGGGGGTTTAGGAGTGGACACCCTAAACCTTAAACTCTAAACTCGAAGCCCTAAAGCGTAAACCCTAAATCCTTAGCCCTTAGCCCTAAACCCTAAATTTCAATCCCTAAACCCTAAACCCTCAACCCTCAACCCTCAACCCTAAACCCTAAACCCTAAACCCAAAAGAGGGTGCTCGGCTTGCGCTGCCGAGGCTTGGCGTGCATCAGGATGCCGAGGTCAAGGCGCAACGGCACGAAGCTCACGGAATGGCTCTGGAGTCTGGAGGGTTTAGGGTTTAGGGTTTAGGGTTTAGGGTTTAAGGTTTAGGGTTTAGGGTTTAGGATTTAGGGTTTAGGGTTTAGGGTTTAGGGTGTGGTTTCAAGGGATCCAGACTTGTCTGTGGTAGGGTTTAGGGCCTAGGGTTTACCGGTTTAGGGGTTTAGGGCTTTTGGGTTGGGTTTTGGGGGGTTAGGGTTCAGGGAAGTATTAAGCATATGAGGGTGCTTCTGCAACCCTATGCATGGCTGCCTGCTTTGCGGACATGCAATGCGCGAAAGATGCTTGGACCTCACCCCTGACTGGGTGAGTTGACATACACGGTTTAGGGCTTAGGGCTTAGGGTTTAGGGTCTATAGGGTTTAGGGTTTAGGCTTCCTTGTCTGCTCCCTACCCTTCGCCTCCAATGATCGCTTTCTTTGCACGTTCTTTTGAAGGAGTGTTTTCTCGACCAAAAACCGTCTTTGAGCATCTCAAGGCTGAGGTCAGGGTTTAGGGTTTAGGGTTTAGGATTGAGGGTTTAGGGTTTAGGGTTCAGGGTTTAGGGTTTAGGGTGTAGGGTTTAGGGTTGAGGGTTGAGGGTTGAGGGTTTTGCCCTCAAGAGCCAGCAAGGACCAACCATACTAACCGCTTTCAATTGGGGGTTGGGGGGGGCTCAGATGGTTCAGAAAGTTTGCGGACTCTTAGGTTTGGGATTCAGGGCCCTTTGTACGTATGTCCCCCTTTTGAACTCTTCAAGGGATGCTATAGCATACCGAACCCCAGACTTCCCTACTAAAAACCAGTAAGCAAGTTTGTTGCTTGCAGCTGCGGGTCAGATCTGGTGCTTCCCGCCGGAGAAGGGCGTCTACAACGATCGGATCGTCCGGATCCGAATGTCAGCTATGAGGTGGAGAGTTGAGGGTTCATGATAGCCCCAAGCCGAAGCACTAAACTTTCAACCCGAAACCCTAAACCCTAAACACTAAACCCTCAACCCGAAACCCTAAACCCTAAACCCTAAACCATACACCCTGAAACCCTAAACCCTAAACCCTAACCCTAGCCCTCCTCCATTTAAGGCCCTTCTAAGCCATCTGCACCTGCAACCCTCGGCCCGAAAAAAAAGACCTATAGCTAGACCCCCCAATGAGTTTAGGGTTTAGGGTTTCAGGGTTTAGGGATGTAGGTCGGGGCACCAAGTTCGTACTGCTAGTAGAGTCAAGTTCGCAAGTTGCCATAAACGAGTCGAACTCCTGGGGGGAAATCCAAGTAGGAGACACCCGTAGAAGGGACCAGAACACACCCCTCTCTCTACATGCCTGTTTATACTCCCTCCATGCCTAAACCCTAAACTCTAAACCCTAAACCCCTAGCATCCCTTTTGAAAGTACCTCCTGCAGTTGCTTAAAGCTGGGCTAGGATGCGTGCTGACCTTTCAAGCAGAGTTTGCCTTGTTTGTGTAGGGCTTAGTTCGTGAACGAGCGCGCCCCTTGCGAACAAAAGCTACAGCTACTCCGCCCTAACATCTAAATGCAGGACTTGAGGCTGTTCGGGCTTTGAGCTTCCGGGTTGTTCAGGCCCTCGACTCGTCACCATGACAGCTCGGAAAGAAGCCGAGCAACCGCGACAGTGAGAGACCCCGCAAGCTCTTTCCACCAGAAGCACGAAATCCTAAACTCTGGATTTCCGCAGCCCTGAACCAAAATCCTATAAACTCTAACTCCAAGCCCCTAAACCCCAACGCTGACCCCTGAACTCTCTAGCCCTAAACCTTATCCCTGAGCCCTAAACTCTCTGGCTCCTGAGCCGCTACAACCTATAACTTAGTAGCCCAGTAGTACCCTTTACCCTTTTGTTGGTTCAAACAGTAACCAACCCAAGAAAGGGTGACCTTATTCTGACATGGTTACTGGGCTACCAAGAACATCCCTAAACCCTAAACCCTAAACCCTAAACCCTAAACCCTAAACCCTAAACCCTAAACCTTTTCAGCCGCAAGCCCTGTAGACTCTCAGCACCCAGGTGGCGCGTATCGAGCACAACCCGGAGCCGGCTCGGGGCCTCAACGGTAGGGTTTAGGTTTAGGGTTTAGGGTTTAGGATTTAGGGTTTAAGGTTTAGGGTTTAGGGTTTAGGGTTCAGGGGCTCTTTGTAGAGAACTACGGCGTTATGGTGCAATCCCTCAAAGGGCTTTGCAGGGGGAGTTGGTGTACCCAGAATGCCAAACAGGATCCAGGTACCCCGATTGAGGACTCCGTGATACCACTGCGGTAACATCTAGCTACCCTAAGCCCTAAACCCTAAACCCTAAACCCTAAACCCTAAACCCTAAACCCTAAAGGAGCCCTTGAGTGACTCTACTTTCTAGATCATCCACATTCGGCTCTGTGATGCTCAAGATCAATACACTCAGATTTCTCGTTGGAGAGACGGCTGAAGAGGAACTCTGCGCATCAGGCTTGCAAAGACTGAGAACTGCTTCAGCCGATGCCGCAAACAGATCCAAACTCAAACTGTATCAAAGTGATGGTCTTGAGCATGTAGACGGCCACACGTCCACCGCGGCTCCGGGCTCGACTTGACCTCCAACTACTCATCCCTCAAGCCGAAACCCACACATCCCAAAACCCGAAATGACTAAGGTCGCCTTCAACCTCTGCGCCGTGGGTGAAGTGCCGGCGCTGTCGCTGGAGAAGGAGGAGGCAGAGATATGGGGGTTTTCGAAAAAAGGGACCCCCTAAAAATAGACCCCCAAAATAGTACGATCCCCTTATCGTAAGGACCCCAAGAAGGTGCCCCTAACTTCGGAAACCCCCATATGAGCGTCGGATTTTATTTGCTGGCGGGCGCAATGAGCCTATTTTAATGTTCGGTCCCTGATCTCGTTTGCCTTAAAACACCTCTTCCGGGCCAATGTCGTCTTAAGGGGTAATCTCGTTCAGTATTAAATAGTACTTGGAGTGTAGTGAGTGGTATAGTTGCCCTTAACCTTCGCCCGGTAACCCATAGTGCTTCTCTGAACAACTCTGTCATTTCCACCCGTTTACGGTTAGGGTTTAGGGAGTAGGGCTCAAGTTGTTGCGAAGACGTGCCCCAGTACTCTTGTTGCCTCCGTGGAAAGCAACTGAACAGGAGACACTTCACTCCAAAACTGGCCCTAAACCTTCCAGCCCTGTCTCAATAACTCCTAAACCCTAATCCTTGTGATTGTGCCTCTCATGACCCTCTGGCTTCCCTAGCTGCCTTCGTGCAATTTTTTGATCACGTTTGGATCACGTTTGGATCTCGTTTGGGATCGGCCAGCAATCTCCAGGCCCGCCAGACCCCACATCCCCTCAATCCCCAACCTGGGCCGAAGCGGTTGAGCCTCAAAGGCTTCTGAGTCTAAGCGGTTCAAAGCACAGCCGCCGTTCCCAGCAAGCAGCTTTTGCCAGCAATAGCCTACGCGAAACCAACTCTTCATCGTTTAGCGAACGCCTTCACACAACTATATACATGGTACCTATGTATATATAACTAAACAAAGGCTTAGTTATACATATATATATATATAATATAGGTACAGATAAGGATTATGTATGCAGTAAATGCAAGTAAACAAGTACAAGTATAAATCCTTCATTCTACAACATGATCTCGTTTGATGTTCGGCCCCGATCTCGTTACCGAGAGAGAGCGACACCCCAACCAAAAAATAGGGCACATCCAAAGTAACTCTGCTCGTGCGTAAATAAAAGCCGTTGCTCATATGGGGGTCTCTTCAAAGGTTTCGGGGTTCAGGGTCTGGGCTCCATATGTCTGGGCGGATTTCGTAGCAGGTCCAAGGGAGTGAAGGGTTTTCAGGTTCAAGGTTTAAAGCTCATGGTTCGGGGGGGCTCTGCTCAACTGTGTGATCTGGATCTGAAGCTGGGCCTTCTAGCAGAACGCCTGTTTTTTTTTGTTTTTAGTGTTCTGTTGGGTTGCAGGGTTGCGCGGATTTGAGGTTCAGGGCTCACGCCAAAAAGCGCCCGCCTTGCAGGTGGACTTCGGCCGGCTGATGATGAACATCCGGGCCGACGACCAGCGTGTGCCCGGGATGAAAGCTTGTTGTGGGGCCTGTACTTACCTGCTGAGCGAGCAGGTTTCGTTTTTTTTTTGGTTCTCACTTTTTGGGCTCAACGACTCAACGGCATGAAGTTTGACCTTTGCCTTTGCATTTGGGATTCGGGCCTTGGCTTCGAGCAGCTTATAAACTCTCCAGGCAAAGGACCGTGGCCGGCTAAGCCCTAATTGAACCCCACGCTACTGTAAAACCTAAACCCTCAAACAAGCTAATTACTGCGTAAGAACCCCGAAACAACAAAAAACCTTCTTCCTTGTCAAGGGCAACATAGGGATGGTCTCCATCGGGTTTCTGGGGTTCTCAAGCAAATAGTAGCAAGTGCTCGGCCGAGGTGAAGATCAAGAACGAGAGCTCCGTGTCGGTCTCTCAGCGCCGCCTCTGCTCCCACCACTGAACCCTAAATCGCAGACCCCGCAGGACTGGTGTTTTTCTAAGCCCCGAAACTCAATCCCCCAAAAAAACTATAAAACACCCTAAGCACCTCAACCCTACATCCCTAACCCCAGATTCAACCCCTAAAAACCTCAACCTGAACAACTCCGGGGGCCGCCCTCAACCCTCCTGCTAGGTGTAGGCATGCAAAGTGTAGAGCTGAGGACACCCCCCTCCCACCCGTGAACAGGCGGGAGTGTGCTCTGGAAATGCGGGCTTCCGGGTTTGAACTTTAGAGTCTTTGGTTCGGAGTAGGTGACCTTCAACCCTGTACTTGATGACTTTGGGCGAAACGCCCGGCATTAGGCCCGTGCGCTGGCAGCTGCTCTGCAAGGACTCCAAGGCCACTGGGTTCCTGGTGTGCTGATACCTTCAGGGGTTGGGGTGTTGGGGTTTGGGGTGTAGCGTTTGCGGTTTAGGGATGCACACATGGATCTCTCATCAAGTTCCCCATATGGTGGTTTAGCTCAACAAGTGTCAAGGATTCAGACAAAGCACCAATAAGGTCTACAGCTTCTTTAGGCCGTGCTGTCGGAAGAGTTGGGCCTCGCACCAACCCCCACCCCCAACCCGGCCCCCGCTTGCAAGTCACCAACCTTGATGGTATGAAGTCTCCCATCGTGTGGCATTGTCCTCTGGGGCTTAGGGCTTAGGGTTTAGTAGGGTTTAAGGTTTAGGGTTTAGGGTTTAGGGTTTAGGGTTCCCCACAGTGTCACAAACTCTTACGACTCGCCCTCGCTGTTGCTGGCAAGTTGGTGACTTGCAAGTCATGGTCACCTTGCCACGGCGCACATGCCACGTTGTTCCAACAGGGTGAGATTAGGATCTTGCAATTGTAGGGACAAAGGTTCAGCCTAGGTGCGGCCGGACCGTTTTGTACGCCACATTTATATGCCGGTTTGGTATCTAGGGGTAACGTTCTTGAAGCTGAGCTTTGGAACAGCTCAGCGGCGAGTCGCCGCTGACTAGAGTCGCCGCTGACTAGAGTCAGCGCTCCGCCGACCGCAACGCTCAAGAACCCAATGCCCCTTAAACACATCCGAGGTTCCTTAAAATTGTGATCCTGACTTCTTTCAGGGGTAGCACGAACATTCCTTACATTGTAATTAGCCGGGGTCCCGAACATTACTTATAAGGAATGCTCTGCAAATTTAAGGCGTATTGGGGCTCTCTGCGTGCGCTGCTGAAGGTTGGGAGCCTTCTTTGCAGGCTCTCATGAACCCGACTGGGCTCAACTTCAACAAACAGCTACAACCCTAAGCTCCTTTGCGGGGGTAGGGTTCGTGTCTAGGGACCCTAAACCCTAAACTCTAAACCCTAAACCCTAAACTCCACACCCCTCAAACCGGCGAGGTCCTCGCCGAGGAGAAGGCCGAGAAGGTTGAGAAGGTGGAGGGCGAGGAGGGCGAGGAGGTGCGAGCCGCCACTGGTCAGACCGGAATGAAGAATACTAGGGTTCAGGGTTTAGGGTTTAGGGTTTAGGGTTTAGGGTTCAGGGTTTAGGGTTTAGGGTTTAGGGAGAATGCGGGGCACCAATGCCGCAGAACTAGGGCTTGGAGATTCAGATGTTTAGGGACGTCGGCAGATCCTCAGTTCACATTGCTTGCCGTTGACCTGTCATGGTACTGTGTCAGGACGCTGGTAGTCCCAGATTCTGAAGTGGCAACAGAAGCTGGCTTTTAAGTTGGCTTTACATGCACAGGGTATCTGGACGAAGCCCTCAAAATGCTGTGCTATCTATGCCCGTCATAGGTAACCGTCATTGTCCCAGCATGGGAGGCTCCTCAGCTTCCACCAGGGCCGCGGCTGCCCGAGGCGAGACAAGGGGGGAGGGTCTCAGGGTTCAGGGTCCAGGGGCTCATAGCGGTATTAGGGTTTAGGTTTCAGGGTTCAGGGGCTTGTAAGGGCGAAGACGGTTTTCGGGTTTAGGCGTCAGGGTTCAAGGGCTCATAGGGGTATAGGGTGGCACCCTGTGCTTTAGCAGGAGTGCTTGAGGTCCTGAGTCAAAGACTAAAGGTTGGCTTTTCCACGCCGGGAAACTCAGCAAGAGCCCCAAACTGCTCGAAACCCTCTTGCGCCCCAGCTGCCCCCATAGCATCCTTACGCAACCCTGAAAACCTACAGGCCCCCCAGAAACCCTATAAGCCCTAAGAAACCCATAAACCCCAAAAGACACATGCAACCCTAAAGCCCTAGAAGCCCTAAAAGCCCTGCACCCTAAGCCGCCGGCGACGCGAGGAGATCGTGGTGGAGCCGACGGAAGGACTCTTGTCTGGCAACGAGGCGCCCTCGCGGAGGGCTGATGTTCTGGGAGAGCCGGTGCTCCCTCCCTCCTTGGGGTCCTAACAATCCTATAACAGCCCCTGAAACTAAAGCGCCCAAAAGCCCCAAAGATCCCCAAAACCTTTATAAACTCCAAACCCTAAAGCCCGAAAACCCTTAATCCTAAAACCCGAAGACCCTCGTACAGCACAACCCTGAACCCTTGGACCCTAGACCCTACAACACCGAACCCCAAAACCCTGGACTCCCCAAATCCCTGAGACACTAAAAGCCGCAGGAGCGCGACATCCGCCTGAGCTTCCGGTCTGCCCGGGCCGCGCAGTTCAGCGCCGCGTGGGCCTGGCGAGGGATTGAGGGGCGCTGTTTGGAGCTTCACCCGACACCCAAAAAAAAACTAAGCCCAAAACCCTAAACCCTGATAGGAGGGTTCCAAAGGGATTCTGGGGAGGCTTAGGGGTTAGAGGTTAGGGCTCGAAAGGGGGTGGTTTAGGGAAACCTACTATGGTTCTTAAGAAGTATACAATCCGTCAACTGGTTTGAAAATCAGGGGAGAAAATCTACCTGTATCCTAAATCCCTAAATCCCTAAATGCCTAAATCCCTAAACCCTAAACCCTAAGTCCCTTACTCGAAGAGCTGGTGCCAGGCTACTCCTGGAAAGCCGCGATGCCGAAGGCTTGAACGGCTGGCAGCAGGTGCCCTGCAAAGCTTCGTTCTTCAAGAAGATACAGGGGTACCAAGAGTCAGAATGAAAGGAATCATGTACCCCCCAAACCCAAAGCCCAAAAAATTAGGGGGTCTTGTACCAGAATTCTTCCTGCAGCCCGAACCTGGGTCTGGGGGTATACTTGGAGGTTCATGGGGTAGGTCTCAGTGGAGTCCACCAGGGTTTGGGGTAGTTATGAGCCTAAATCAACTGAAGGTCGCGCCGGAGTTTTGGAAGCACACCCACGTGGGTCCTTTGTCGCGGAGGGTTTGGATGCTCAGCCCCTGAACTCCAAAACCCCCTCGGCCCGAACAATTGGGGAGGGTTTACGGCGACTGAAATCCTAGAAAGCCTCTGCTTTAGGGTCTGGAAACCTGGAAAGACCCTCCCGCTAACCGAAAGCCTGTCACAAGGCCGCCAAGCTGAGCGTGGCCGCCGAGTCCTTCGCAGTGGATGCAGTGATCGAGCCCGATCCACGTGAGGTGGGGCTTAACGGTGTTGGTGTAGGGTTTCAAAGGGTTATGGTTTAGACTGGAGTGTTAGAGCATATGGATGATGAGGACTTAGTGGGGAGACTGTTGCTACAAGAGAAGCATCCTTGATCTTGGTTTTATCAAAAGTTGGCGAAACCTTCAACCCTAAACCCTAAATCCGAATCGGAACGGAAGGTGTTCAAGAGCTCGGGTGCTCCTCTCCGTGACTGGGAGGGTATCCTTATACCCATGAAGCCCACGTTGTCCTCAAGCCGCAACCCTGCAGCCCACAATCCACTACTTAATAGATCCCCAAGAAGATGGAATGGTCCCATTTCTCAAAGTTCACTCCTTTCTTCGACCCCAGCAAGCCCGATCTTTCAGCTCCAAGAACTGCGACGTCACGCCCCAAACCTGGGTTAGCCATCAACACTTAAAATCGAGGCTCCATGCTGCCCCCCCCCCCCCCCCCCCCCCCAAGAAAAGTCGTGGACAGCTCCTAACCCAAAGCCCCTAAATCCCATGATGCTGCAAAAGCGTCCTCAGCACTTGCTTCTTCGGCACCCTCCCCAAGACCCTCGCCGCCAAGACTGCTCCGCAACTTTGTACCCCTTTCTTGAAGTACGTAAGTTAAAGGTACCCTAATTGTGCCGCAATACAACAGGCAACCCCCCTCAACTCCAAACTCGATGACCCTCTTATACCCCCAAGCCCCAAACCCCACACGGCCATGTATTTAGGGTTTAGGATTTAAGGTCTATAGGGGTTTGGATTTCGGACCTTTTGGGTTTAAGGCCTAGGGTTTAGGATTTAGGGGTTTAGAGAAGAGCTGTCCTTAGGTGGCCCTGGACTTCGGCACTGTCCTCGTGCACAGCAGCGCCTCGGCTCGCAAGGGTTGAGGGTTTTCAGGGCACCTAGGGTTTTTTTTGAGGACTGCCGTGGTTCGGGTTCACAGCATTTAGGGCATCAGCTGTTTTCACCCCTCTTCTTTTAGGGCTTGCAAAGCAGCTCGTTGAGTACCAGAAGCTTGAGACTGACTGGTCTGGCAAGTGGCAAGGTGTGCAGCGCACCTTCGACATTGTGAACCGCGGCAAGTTCCCTGTGCGTCACGCACTCGGTTGTGGACTTCTCAACCTGGTCATCCCTTTGAGCAGGCCAACCTTGAGGGTACCTTTTCTGGGGGTTCCTATCATAAGGATTGTAATACTATCTTGGTGGTTACCCTATGTTTGCAAATGCGCATGTAGTCGCCCGTTTGGGGTTTAGGGTTTAGGCCTGAGACTGCTTTAATGATTCCACCCTGAAGAGCTTCCGGGGGATTGGCTGATGTATGTACGCTCCCCACTCGCATGCACGACAGCTCGCGAGAAGACAAATTTGGCATAGCACGAACCCTAATTAAGCCCTAAAACCCTAAACCCAAGTCCCCTAACTAGGTAGCACCATCTGCGAGCCCAAGGTCCCAGAGGTTTAGGGTTTAGAGGTTCGAAAAACAAACGAAGCTAAACCCTGAACCCCGTACAGCCCTCAACTCCCTTAGCCTGAACCCTAGACCTTGCCTGGGCCGACCCCCGACTTCTCGTTCCTTCTTGGGACAATCCTGCATTCCTACATGTTTAAGCTTCAACCCTCAAAACCCTCAAAACCCTCAAAACCCTCAAAACCCTCAAAACCCTCAAAACCCTCAAAACCCTCAAAACCCTCAAAACCCTCAAAACCCTCAAAACCCCAAAGCGCAGCGCGCCTCAGGCTTCGAGCTGGCCATTCGCCGGGCTCTTCGCGAGCTGCTGCAGATCGACGAGCCGAAGGTGCGCGGGCTGGGTGCCTTTAGGGGTTTTGGGGATGATTGTGGTTTAAGGGTTAGAGTATATGGTTTGTGCCTTTGAGGGTTTTGGGGATGATTGTGGTTTAGCGGTTAGAGTATAATTATAGGGTTTAGGGTTGGGTTTGAGGTTTCGGGTTGGGGTTTGGAGGCTTCCTCTAGGGCACTCCAGCTACGGGGGCTTAGTGTAGAGAGCGGACCGTATTGCGTTCAGCGCTAGTAGTCCTGCAGCGTATGACCCTGATGCTCTCCTACACGCTAAGGCCTCAAACCCTGCTAAACCCCAGCCCTCGGCCAATCCGCGGGCTCCCTTACAGAATTAGGGTTCAGGCATTAAGTGTCGGATCGTCTTTTGTTTCAAAAAAGGGTCTCAGGGCTGCTGATAGGGTTGGATATTTGCCTGCATGGGTAGGGCGCTTTGGAACTTCGGAGGATTCAGAGGTGGTCTCCCAGCATCTCGGAATAATGTTGGATGAATTCGCTGCGAGCCCCGGCTTCAGGCGTACATACGTCATGCATCGTTTTGCACAACTAGACGCATGTGAACCTTGGCATGTACAGTTGAACTACTCTGCGTCAAGCCATCTCCTTTGACCAAGGCGACGTAGGGACTGGCATCCGGCATGTCTTGGTCAAAAGCTTTGCCGCGTTCGGACCGTTGTTGGCGTGTTTGGAGTCTCTGGACGGCAACCTCGCAGCAAAGAAGGAGCACCAGGACATGGGAGGTGAGTTCGAATGGCCGGGTGAAAACTTCAACAGGAGTGGTGAGCTTCGGATACCTCAATCAGTCAGGCTACTACAGTGCGACCATCAAAGGTCAACACTTCTTCGTCCATCGGCTCGTTGCGGCCGCTTTCATTGGTCCACCGCAGGCTTTGGAACAGTGGCAGGTGCACCACATTGACGGCAACCCTTCCAACAACCATATGCAAAACCTTGAGTACGTGACGCAGTCCGACAACATTAGGCATTCGTGGTCGACACGGAATCGTAAGTCATCTGCAGCAAATGAAGACACTGCCATTTTGTGGCGAGTTGCTGGCGACAGTCGTTGGACTGAGTGCCCAGCGCAGTTTGAAGCCGCCAAAGCTCTGGGCGTCAACCAGTCATGCATCTCGAGGTGCTGCCGTGGTTTGGTCGCTGCTTGCCAAGGAGCTTGTGACCGGTACGAGTTCAAATTTGCAGGTAATGGTGAAGCAAAGGTAGTTGCTGGTGAGACCTGGCAGGTTGCAACTTATCCGGGAAGGGACGATGCCTTTGGCGATCTTCTGGTCAGCAGCCATGGAAGGATTATGTCAAAAGTGTGAGGCTGTTATCGTGTCTGGCATGGATCCCGCAGCACCGCCGGCTACCACTCAGTGACCAAGGCGGGGAAGCATCTGTATGTGCACCGCCTGGTTGCCGCGACCTTTCTGGGTCTGCCTTCATCACCTGACCTGCAAGTCAATCATAAGGACCTCGACCGCGGAAATAACCATGTGGACAACCTCGAGTGGGTGACCGCATCGGAAAACGCCAAGCATGCACGCTATGCAAGGGTTGGGCTGGGGTCTCAGCAAAAACGTGGCAGATCTGTGCAGGCGCGCCTACACGAACCAGACAGTCCATGGCTGCAGTTTAAATCGATCGCGGCTGCCGCGGCGCATACAGGTATCCAGGCGAAAAAAATCTCAAGACTTTGCAGGGGATTTGCTCAATCCTGTGGCTGGGAGTTCCGTTTTGTACTGGAAAAGCCACTCCAAGGTGAACAGTGGCGCCCTGTAGTGTTTGAAGGAGCTCGCAGACCTGAGATGGTCGGCTGCTAGTTTCTGTAAGTTTGCTGCAAATTTGCATGCGGTTCGGGCGGCGACTTCGCACGGTTTGCTGCTGTTTCCGCGTATGCTTCGCACACGACAGCCACAGCGCGAGCGGCTTTGTCAGGCTTGAGCCTTTTTCGAACAGGAACTACCATCGGATTTGGGCACCTCTCTTGGGCCCCGCTCACGGAATACTTGATTGCGTCCGTAGCTCGAGGCCTTATGCGGCACTCCACGACATCGACCCAAACGAATACAAGAACAGAGCAGCAAGCAACCTGATGGTGTCATCTGACCCGTGACCGCTTGTTGACACAGCAGATGCAAGGTCAAACGCCTCATTGAGCGTGGAGCGTCTCGTCCAAAACACACACAGAACCGCTTGCCGTACCGGCCATGCGGAAATGCGAATTTCGAATGTCCCGAAAGCCGATGCATCCCAAACTCTAAACCCTAAACTGCCCTAAACTCAACCCTATACGCCCCAAAGCCCAACCCTAAACTAAAGCCTGTACACCCCAAACCCTAAACCCTAAACCTGAGAGTGTTTCCCTGCGGTGTCCGAAGACGTCCTCCAGCAGGCGGAACTTCAGCCAGGCGAGCGCAAGTCCATCACAGCCCCGGCCTTGGCACTTAAGGCATCAGGTGCCTTTGACGACCCGTCGTGGAATTGGAGTTGCCAGTGTTTAGGCTTGAGGGTTCAAAGGCTACTTCGAGCTATGGACGGCAATGGTGGTGTATTGTGCAACTACGGGGCTTTACCGAGGCTGTGAGGTTCAGGGCTTCGCAGTCCCACTGTGCAAGGAAGCAACGGAAGCTCGCCACTTTTGCTTTGATTCCCACTCCTCTGGATGCCCAGAACATACTAGCCAACCTGAAAGATTGAGGATTTGGGTGCGACCTATTTGACCCCTTAAGTATAGCCTACAACTCCTGAACCGAACCCATTGGTCCGGTAGCAGTATTTCTTTCGCGTCACGCACGCCTTGCCCTTGAGGGTTAGGGTTTTAGGGGAGTGTTTGGGTGAGAGCGACCAGGTGACCTGCAACTCTGGCCGCGTCTTCGAGACCTCCAGCGGCGGCCTCAGACATCGCAGCAACGGAGAAAACCCAACAGCTTAGGGCAAGAGTCAGATACCTTTCAATTTCGACATACTGGTTTCCCTAATCCCTGCGCCACCCTAAATCCCCGAACCATAGAGCCCTTAGCTCCCTCTCCCAGGTGAGGGCATCGCCTTGCAGATCTTTGACCAGCTGCCGGGCGCCCAGGGGGCCCTGGCAATCAAGAGCTCCGCCTCGGGGTGCTTGGGGTGGCGGATCAGGGTTTAGTTGGTTTGTGCTGCAGGTTATAGAGGCATCCCTAAGCCCAGAGAGCCCAAAGTTTGCAACCACTGGAAACCTCAGCCGGTAAGTTCCTGGTTTGAGGACTTTTCGGGTCGTTGGTCGCAGGGTTCTGGGAAGTTCGTGCCATATTGCTTGCAGTTTGTGCCTTCAAAGAATCACCCCACCATCCACATCCTCTGGTTAAATGCAGCCCCCGTCTTTGATCGGATGGCAGGAGCGGCGAGTCCGTCGACCACCGGATCCCGCCCATGCGCGTGGCGCTGACGGCGGTCTACAACACCTTCCAGGCAGCTTGGGGTCAACAAGGAATGTGGCATTCTTTGCAATTTGGGCGGGTTTATACTTTAAAAGTAGAGTTCAGGACAGACTAATACAGTGTTGGCCCCGAAAGCCTAGAGGCCTGCAGAGGCCCCACACTTGCAGAACAGGCGAATGCTTAGGGGAACTTCACAAGCAAGTCGCGCACATTTCGGCCGAACATGCGCGGACTTGAAATTTCTCGAGGTTCGAGCGGCCGAGATTCGGGAATTGCGGCTGACTGCAGGCCTACAAAACCTCCCCAATCAGCTAACAAGTTCGAACCTTAACATACATCCTGAGCGCCGTAGCGTCGGCCCTGTAGACCATCAGCAAGTACATAGTGAAGGCAGGCAACAGATGCCCGATACCCGAAAACGATCCAAACTCCAAGAATCCAAACCCCAAACCTCAGACTCCTACTTCTTGAGGTCACTCCACCACGGGGTCTCAACTTCGGCCCCGTGGAGAAGGGGGAGACGCAAACCCGGACCTTCACGGCTGGAGGGCCCAGCTTGGGTGCATGGGTGCATGTGTGTAGGGCCCAGAATTCAGAAGTGTACCTTTCCATGCCATTCAGGATCTCTGTATGGGTGATGGAATGAAGGGGTCTCTAGGATGCTTGTTGCTTGGCTCTCTTACTTGCTGAGTTTAATGCCTGCGGCAAACCCTGAACCTTTCATGTTTCGGGGTTGGTGGGTGGGTGGGTGAGGGGTTCTCTTCTGTAGTTAGGGGGAAGTATCTCAGCAACTATCCCAGTGCCGCATTGTCACCAACCTGAGACCAAGGAACTTCGCAGCCTCTGCCCTAAATAAACCCTGCAAGCCCTATTAAACCCTACAGCTAACTCCCTAAACCCCCCCACCTAAACCCCGAACCCTCAACCCTAAACCCTCTAAGCCCCATGAGCCCTACTTACGGTCTTCCTTCCGCGTGCACCCCAATGGGCTCAGATCCGAAACAACGGCATCTTCGCCTTCGACTGGAGCCTCTTTGACTGGGCGGATCCGCCGACCTTCGGCGAGGCTTGCGGGGGAGACATAAAGTCAGTTCTTTGGGGGTTTTGTTCAGGGTTCAAGCGTGTTTGGGGGGGTTGTGTACATAAGTGCTTTGGGATTTTTCGGGTTCAGGGTTCAGGGTTTAGGAGTTTTGAGGGTTTATGGAAGACTTTAGGATTTTACGGTTGAGGGTGGGGGGTGGGGGGCAGGCCACATCAAACCTGCAACCCCAGGAATTAGCATACAGCCATCAAGACCTTATAAACCCTCAGCCCACCGACTGGGAGGTGTGGGGATCCTCGCCAACTTTGATCATCGCCAGCATTTAGCCGTTCACCTGTTGCTGTATTCGAAACTTCTGAAAAACCAAAAGGGTGACCCTAAACCCTAAATCCTAAACCCTAACTCCTCTTTTGCCCCTAGTAAACTCAGTCCGCAAGAAATCCACAGGATGGCCGGCCGGCCCCGAAGGACAAGGTGGCTGCTGGACCTTTCCAGGTCAAGCCGACGCCGGGTCGGCCCAGGAAACAGGGTTCGGTTTTAGGGTTTAGGGTTTAGGGTTTTGGGTTTTGGGTTTGGGGTTTAGGGTTTAGGGTTTAGGATCTGGGGTACCAGGGATGCTGAGTCAGCAGGTTCACACTGTTGGAGTTCTTTACAGCCTCTGTTGCCCCAAAAGTTCGCCTTTGCCCCTTGCCCCCTGAAAACCTCAGGCAGTACGTTGTGTGGGTATGACTGTAGCCCCCGTACAAACTCAAGAGCTCGCAGGCCTTACAGGGCCTAGAGCTACATTACAGGGCTTCGGGGCACGCGTGCAGTTTTGAGGGAAAGCCTGAGGTTGGCTTAGCGCTGCAGCGTTGCTCTACGTCGTGATAGCAGTGATAGCCCAATGATAGCAGCTAGAGAGTAGCCGTCTCCACAAGCAAGCCGCGCCCGGTCTGATCGGGGCGGCGCCTCGTGGTGGCCTTGTTCCCTTCTTAGGGTTTATAGGTGTTTAATGGCTTCGCGATTGATTTTCTTTGGGCTTACGGGTCTATGCCTTGAAACCCCAGTGTCTATAGGCACTCAGTCAGGTCGGGAAAGCTGGATCCAGACGAGGATGTGCAGGTGCAGGTGACTTTCGAGGCGCGCAAAGCAAGGGTTACAGGCTTTGATTCGTACATAAGGAGGCTTCGACCCTTTGGCCCCCTCTGAAGTACCGGTTTAAGGTATATTAGGGACCCTTTGGAGGTGTTTTGAAGTTAGGGGGAGGTCTCAGGATCCAAGATCCCGGTCCACGGTTTTGTGCATGGCAGCTTCCTCCCCAAACCGGAAGCAACTGTCCCAAAACATGAACCTGTTTGGGCTTTAGGCGCTTTAGGGTTTAGAGTTAACTGGGTAAGATTTCCCTCGTCCATTTGTTGGGGTACCCTAAATCAATCGGGCTGTGTCATCCTGAAAAGGGACAATACCTCAGAGAGCTGACCAAGTAGTAGCCTGTCTGGCTTCTGCTAAACTCCAAACCCCAAGCCCCAAGCCCTAAACCCCAAACCCTGAACCCCAATAAACCCCTTAAGCGCAATCCCCAAAATCCCAAACAAGCCAAGCTTTGGGAGGCCGCTGGTGATGAAGACTACGACTCCAAGATTGCCATCTGGGTCGATGGGGTGCCTGGGCCATGCCGGGCAGGAGGTTAGACTTTGGGATGCAGGTTTCAGGTCCTGGCTTCGACTGAAAAGGGTTTTCGGGTCGTTGAGCATGCTGCGAAGGATTTAGGGTATGGGGTGTGGCGTCCCCGGCGAAGGAGGGCAGGCCGTTGTGCTTCTGACTCGGGTGAAGGAGAGGTTACTGGCTGCCCGCAGACAGACCCCTGGACCCTTCTCGTGTTCCCCACCCCTCGTGCCCGAAGCCCTAAACCGTTGAAGGTGCAGGGTGAGCCGATGTCCTCCTTCGAGACGGGCCAGGAGCTGGCAGGCCCCCAAGGGTCTAACAAGCGCCTACGCACAAGGACGCAGCTGTTCATAGGGAGTGTAAGGAATGGGAGTTTTTGAAGATGGACTACATGTAAGACTTGGATGCTCATGGAGAGCTCGGGAGTGTAACCTTGAATATTGACAAATCCAGCGTGGTCTATCGTTTGGTCATGAACATCCGCCGGCAACCCCACCGTTGCATACCGCTTGCTTCCTATCACTTTGTCATTTCACGGGAGGTCTGAAATGCAAGCACTTGGATTCGCCCAGTTGTGATTTGGGGCGTGGCCTTTTTTGTCTTTCAGTTGAATTACCGGCGTTGGGAGTGGCTAGCTATTGGAGTTTCAGCTTGCTTAGTTTACAATTGTTGGGCTTTTGCGGTCCCATCCCCAGTATGAATGAATCCGTGGCCTGACCGAGACACATTCGGGCTCTCATGTGGGTACCCAGTGATAGGAAGCGACAGTAATAGAAGCCATGCCACAAGACTGCTTGAGGACCATGCATTCGTGAGCCACTCATGCAAGTGGCGCTGTGAACGATGCAGAGCTTCGCTTCAGTGGCCAGTCTACGCCTCCGCCAACACATTTGCACGGAGATCCGTTTTGGAGTGAAGATTGAGCAAGCACGATGGGGGTCGAGCGAGTGCGAAGTTAGCTCATTTGGTCGGGTTAGGTCTTCAACTGGTGTTATCAGTTCTGGTCACTTGACGTGGTCTGGGTATCGCCGAGTGATGATTAACCGCCAAAGGTACTATGTTCATCGACTGGTGGCTGCCACTTTCTTGGGCTCACCACCAGACCCGAGTAAATGGCAAGTCAACCATATGGACGGAGATGGAGCCAACAATGCATTGACCAACCTGGAGTACGTCAGTCCTGCCGAGAACCAGCTCCATTCCTACGAAACCAATCGAAGTCGGAGACGCGGCGGAAACAGCCTTAGCAAGGCAGTTTTATGGCGCCCCAGTGGAGAAGAGTCTTGGAGGTTGTGCTCATCCCAGGCGGAGGCTGAGAGGCTTTTGGGATTAAGTCGCGGCACTGTTAGTCGGTGTTGCCGAGGCGGTCAAGCCGCTGCTTCTGCCTATGATGTGTGCTATGAGTTCAGACCTGTAAATGCTCCGACCATCTCTTATGAAGAAGGTGAAGTTTGGAAGGGGGCTCGCTACCCTGGCAGGCTCGATGCCATCCCAAACCTAACAGTCAGCAGCCACGGAAGAGTGTGGTCTCAAACGTGGCATCAGAACACAAGAGTAACTCGGGGCACCGAAGATCGACAAGGATATTTCCACGTCAGCAAGGCAGGCAGATTCCTTCTGGTGCACCGCTTAGTGGCCGCTACATTTCTTGGACAGCCCCGGGCCGCAGGTTTATACGTCAACCACATAGACGGAGATCGAGGAAACAATCATTTTCACAACTTGGAATATGCCACACCGTCTGAGAATGTGAAACATGCATATTCTCGGATGCGGACGGACGGGCGCCACAAGACTGGGAAGGGAAAGGGTGTGCTGGTGAAGGAAATTGGCTTCCATGAGTCTTGGCAGGCTTTTGATTCACTTACAGCTGCTGCTCGGCATACAGGCATCAGCGTTTCTCACATCTCTCAAGTCTGTAGGGGGCTGCGCAGGCATGCTGGCCCTTGGGAGTTCAAATTTGCGCCGCAACAACCAGTTCTGGGAGAAGAGTGGCGACCCGTTGTTCTGGAAGGGGCCCGTGTCACCGTGCTCAGATCTAACAGTATGGTTCGAACGGGCCAAAAGCAATTCGGCTCCTGTTAGCATGCCACCATTCTTGGAAGCCGACTGCTTGCACGGAAAAGGTTCAACCCATGTGTACATGGGTAAGAGGAAGAAGTCTTTCCTTCGAAGGTGAGTAGCCCCCCCCCCCCCTCCCCCCTGTCTAGGAATATCATGTCGTTCAACTTGACTGAGTCCATGTTCAACCTTTTTCTCCCCCAAGATGGTTGCTTTTCAGCCATTCAGCCCAGCCCAAGACGGGATTTCCCAGCGCCACGCAAATGCCTGGTCTCGCTGTCTTGCGATGAACCTCCACATTTTCTGCCTTCATCCGGGTGCTTCCCTAAGCCCTATACACCCTCAACCCTACTTGGTCCGCAGGATGCTCGTCGTACCTTCTCACAGGACAGAGCTGCGTACCAGGCTGGTGAGAGCTCAGGGTGAACGTGTGGCAGTGTGATCTGTCGGCTACATTTTCTAGGCTACATTTTCTACGATGGGCCGGAGTGCTTCTATTCCATTTAATTCCGCGTGTTTCTCTACCTAGATGGGGGGGTACCTCTCGAGTTCTGCTTCGATGGTCGGTTTCGGACTGGTCAGTGCTAGCAACGCGACTGCTACAGGCATCAACACCACAGATCTGCAGACGGTCTTCGAGGATCCGCGGCTACTGCCTGAAGTTTGGACTTAGCCAACATGACAATCGAGGTTTCAAGGGTTTTTGGTTGTCTGCCAGTTGCTCCGAGGCTTAAATTCTGGGTGCCGAGCGTGCCATGCTGTGTTTCTGAGAAGGTGCCCGATCTAAACCCTAAACCCGACGAGGCGCTCCCAGGAGTACTGGTCTTCTATGTTGTTGGTGGTTCCGTTGCCTGCCTTGGTTTAAACTCCCACCTACCCCTAAGCACAAAGTAAGACATGTGCCCTTACGGCAGGAGCAGTTCTTCACACGCACCCTGGAAGATGCCGTGGCCATCGCTGGCCGCATTGACGCGCTGGTCCCAGTCTGCCCCCCTACACCCGACAACCGTGAACCCCTGAACCCCTGAAACCCTTCATCTACCCCCTAAAGCTATCAACCTATGAACTTCCGAAGTGCCACTCTCAAATCTCTATACCCTTACCCGTCAGCAAGGTTGCAGCTCCCGACCCCCTAAGCTGTAAGTTCCCTAGAACCCTCAAACCCCTACTCGGACATCCGAAAGCCCTGGAACCCTCATCAGCCGAAGCCTGTCTTCCAGGTGCGGGTGTTCTCCGAAGCAGACCAGATCTTCCACTTTGGCCCGGCGGCCGCCTCGGCGCAGATGTAGGGTTTACTGAGGGCTCAGGGACTGGTAAGGCTTGCAGGGCTTTTTTCCTCATGACTCCGGTTCCTTTGCCTGCTTCAGGGTCGTTTTGTTCAGGGTTTGGGGCTTAGGGAGTTTAGTCTTCATAAAGTTTAGGGTGGTTCTACGCCTTACCCTGGGTGAGGTGGTTAGGTTTCAGGGTGCATGGGGCAATTAGGGTTCATGGCCCCAAGCTGTTTAAGGAGGTGACGTCTGTAGCACTCTCAGTCTCCTTGCTAGACCCCCCAAACCGCAAGCCTGAACACCCTGTCTCAAATCCGAAGAGTCCTTAGTGTGTAGGAATGTGTAGAAACCTATATGCAATACCCTAGGCCCCATTGGCCCAATCAACCGTATCAGCCAAAGCAACCCTAGCAACCCCAAAAGCTCTGCATCCCGATCTCCTTCGGAAGGTCCTGGTCAAGGAGCGCGGGGTCGGGGCCGGGCACTCAGAACGCGTCGGAAGATCGGACTTTGCTGCAAGCTGCCCTTGTCCCCGTTACGTCAGCACGAGAAAGCCCTCAACTCCTAACATGTTAAGCCTCATAAGCGTGGGATCCCAAGAAGGGCCCGCCCCAGAAGCGAACCCCGGACAGTAAGGGCACCAAAGGCCCTTGGGAAATTTCACATGTCCCCCTGATTGGGGTTAAGAGGATGATCAACTGAGGAATATTGTTGAGGATTATGAAAATACTTTTTCAGAGAGGGTTTAGCTTCATTGAGGGGCCGACCTACCAGTGCTCATAGGCCCTTGATGGTAGTTACTTGGAGGCCTGTTCCCTGTCGCTCCCGTGCCACCGAGAAGCACCCGAATCTCATTGCCTAGAGCAAACAAATTTGAATAGTCTGGGACAAACCCGGAACCCTCAAACCCTAAACAACTCAACCCTAAACCCTAAACCCTAAACCAAACTCAAATCGTCCTCTAGTTCCCGCAAAGCCTTACGCCAGTACCTGCTTGGCCCAGTCTAGCCAGCCTGCTTCCCCGACTGGAGCTGGGCTGGGAGCCCGGAGACTTCGAGATTTTCCGGTGGCTCTTGGGTTAAGGTTTGTAAGGGTTTAGGGTTTAGGGTTTGGATTTGGTTTAGGGTTTAGGGTTTGGGGTTTAGGGTTTAGGGTTTAGGGCTTAGGGTTTAGGGTCTTATGGGGTTCATTCGGGCTTAGGGTCAAAAGGTTCGACTCGAGGGCTGATCTGGGTACAAATTAGCCTTCTTGCCCCTGGAAATCTCAGAAAACAAGACTTTCGAAACCCCTACCGAAGCTGTCCTCCTGAACCAGCAATCCTAAGGGTTTAAGGCTTAGACTGGGCTTATTGTTGGCGGGTTTGTAGGGTGTGGTGTTAAAGTGTTCCTACAGTTCTGAGCTGTAGATTTTACAGGCTGAGTCGCCCAGTGGGCAGACGTTAAGCTTCTTGAGAATCGAAAGCCGAAACTTTTGAATCATCTGGGCCACAGTACTAAGCACGAAATAGATCAAGACTAAACTCCAAATCCTATGCGAGCCCGAGCCCTAGCCCCTGAACCCTAGATACCCTGAAGCCCTGACTGCCTAAATCCCCTAAAACCTACAAGACGAAACTCCAAACCCTAGGCGAGTCCGAGCCCTAAGCCCTAAGGCCTGAACCCTAGCAACCCTGAAGCCTTAAACCCAAAGACCCCTTAAACCCACAAGAGAGTTTGTAGCCCTAAACCCTGAACCCTAAACCCTAAACCCTAAACCCTAAACCCCTAAACCCTAAACCCCGAAGAAGGCCGGTAGAGTTCGGCGTCACGGAGAACCTTCGGCTGACGAATCCAAAGGCGGTTCCCTGCAAGGCGGGGGTTGGTTAGGGTTTAGGGTTTAGGGTTTAGGGTTTAGGGTTTAGGGTTTAGGGTTTAGGGTTTAGGGTTTAGGGTTTAGGGTTTAGGGTTTAGGGTTTAGGGCTTAGGGTTTAGGGTTTCGGGTTTCGGGTTTCGGGTTTCGGGTTTCGGGTTTCGGGTTTGGGGTTTAGGGTTTAGGGTTAGGGTTTAGGGTTCAGGGTTTAGGGCTTCAGGGTTTCAGGGCTTCAGGGCGTCAGGGTTTTAGGGGGGGGGGGGTTTAGGGGTTTGAGGGTTTAGGGGTTTGAGGGCTCTAGGGCTGCAGGGTCTGAGGATTCTAGGGCTTTGGGGTTGTAGGGTTGTAGGGTTTTAGGGTTTAGGGTTTAGGGTTTAGGTACAGGGGTTGGGGTTCAGGGGCTCAGGCTTTCAGGGTTTTAGGGTAAGAGGGTTGTAGGGCTTAGGGTTTTCAGGGCTTTTAGGGTTTTCAGGGCTTAGGTTTCAGGGTTGTGGGTTTTTCGGGTGCTTCTGGGTTCAAGGCCTTTGGGGTTTTCAGGGTTTAGGGCCGTTTAGGGCGTCTAGGGCTTCGGGTTGGGAAGCTCAGGGGTGAAATTGGTCCAGGCTTGCAGTGCCTACTCTAAGCTCTCAACCCTAAATCCTAAGGCTGAGAGCTTTTTCTGGCTTATGGGGGGTTTAACTAAGGGTCCTTTAGGCATGCGATTCCGTGAAGTCCAGGGTACACTCTTGAGGTTGAAGCGTGGGTTTTGGGTTTTAGGGTTTCGGGCTTAGGATGAACTAACACCCTAGAGACCTTAAGTCGAGGGCTACGTAGCGCAGGCGCACGATTGCTTCTTTCCCAAAGTAGGATGCAGGAAGGGATTCATAGGTGTGAGGGTTGTAGGTTTGAGGACATTTAGAATCGCTTTGGGGGAATTGCAACGGCGGCCGTGGCCATTTTTGCTCAGCACGCGGGTCTCCCTCTTTGATTTTCCTCAACGCTTTTTGCTCCCCGGCTGCAGACGAGGATCCTTTCTTTCCGAAACCCACTGAACCCGACACCCACCACCCCTGAGATGAGATGTCTTAGGTCTGAGATTGGGGTGTAGGGTTTAGGATTCGCCCAGTAGACCCAAAACTGCTCCCACACGTAACATCTTTTCAGCCCTTATAGGCGATTTCTTGCAGGCGCCCGTCGTCTTCGCACATCCCGCAGCTCCCAACGCAGTAAACCCAAATCCAAACCACTTTCACACAGCTTGTCTTGATGCCTTCGGCGAAGAGCCGTGCAAGTCTCCCTCAACCCCAGACCACGCCAAGCAAGCCCCCGACCCTCTTGAATAAGCTCTGAACCCCCTAAGCCCGAGCTCGGTTGTGGTGAGCCTTTGAAGTTTAAAGGGTATTCTGACCTGGCAAGCTCGAAACTTAAACTTAAAGCCCCGCAACACCAACCTTGAACCCTAAGCCCCAGGCGCGCCCCTAAACCCTAAACCCTAACCCCTAAATCCCTAAACCCTAAACCCTAAACCCTAAACCCTAAACCCTAAACCCTAAACCCTAAACCCTAAAGCCCTAAACCCTAAACCCAAGGAAGCCCTGAGGTTCGCCAGCCATGGGGAATTGCAACGCCACCGGTGTCGCCTCGGATTCGGCAGAGCTGCAGGTGCAAGCGACGCAGAGGCCGGCAAGAGCGGGATTCCATGGGTTTAGGGGTTTAGGGTTTAGGGTTTAGGGTTTTTAGGGTTTAGGGTTTAGGGTTAGGGTTTAGGGTTTAGGGTTTAGGGTTTAGGGTTTAGGGTTTAGGGTTTAGGGTTTAGGGTTTAGGGTTTAGGGTTTAGGGTTTAGGGTTTAGGGTTTAGGGTTTAGGACTGTAGGACCCAAAGTCAACCCTCAACCTTAAATGCCTCACCCTCAACCTCAGGTGCTTGGGCTTGCAAGCGGTATGAGGTTCTTGACTGCTTTAGGGAAGTGCTGGAAGTGCAGTAGGACTTTATGAGCCATTCAGGGTTTAGGGTATAGGGTTTAGGGTTTAAGGTTTAGGGTTTAGGGTTTAGGGTTTAGGGGACATTTTAGGGATCCAGGGCACATGGTACGATCGTACAATGATGTACGCAAGAAACCCTAAACCCATGAACCCTACACCACCTACGACAGAAACCCTAAGCCAAGGGCTTTTGGGGGGTTTAGTTGCGACAAGCGGTGATGCAAGCTGAGCGCAGGCATGCCAGCCTCACCTCGCTCCCCCTGCGCACCTGGGCGGCCGCACATGACAAACCCGAGACTCCAGTTTAGTCTTGAGGTTCAGGTTTAAAGGGTTCAAACTGCTCTTAACGGTTTTCAAGGGTTTACAGGGCTTTAGGGGGCTTTAAGGCATGATGACTTCAGCAGTTCAGGTGTGTTGGAGTCTATTGGAAAGAGACGGGTTGGGGTGGTCGGTTTCGGGTTTAGGGTATAGGTTTGGGGTTTGGTGTGTAAAGTTGGTCAAGTCCTTCGTGGATTTTTGGGAGTTTATTGTTCTACGCTTTGTACTTGTGTGTTTCACTGCTTAGAATGAGGTTTCGGATTTTCCTATTCTAGGAGTTCTGATGTTTCGCAGTCGAGGTGCCCACTATGTGCTTTCAAGAATACATACCACACCCATGATAATTTGGGGGATGTGCGTGTGTAAGTTAAAGCATCAACAAGTACATACAACGTGCTCTACGCAGACAGACAGACAGACAGACAGACAGACAGACAGACAGACAGACAGAGACACACACACACACACACACACACTGACACACACACACACACACACACTGACACACACACTGACACACACACACACACACACACTGACACACACACACACACACACACTGACACACAACACACACACACACACTGACACACACACACACACACACACACACACTGACACACAACACACACACACACACTGACACACCACCCACACACACACACACACCCACCCACCCACCCACCCACCCACCCACGCACGCACGCACGCACGCACGCACGCACGCACGCACGCACGCAGACCCTTTTCTCAGTGCAGACGCATGTTGTAACAAACGTATGTAGTTACGGATGAGCCATGCGCTGATGCGGTGCAATGCAAGGTTGAAATATGGGGGCTTTCCGATAGAAGGATACTTATTATCAGGGAACCTTCTTCTTATTTGGGGATCTATATTAGGGGTCCCTTATCTTCGTAAGCCCCCCCCCCCCCCCCCCCCCCAACATCGGGTTTCGGAGCAGCTGCAACTGTCAGGTTTCAAAGTGGCCCAACATCTTAATCAAACTCGCAACCCCCCCCCCCCCCCCCCCTAAAGACTGCAAGCCCCTGAACCGTGGTTTGAGTCTACTGGTTTCTGAGTGCCTGGGCTAGCGAGCTACCTTCTACACTCCCCTGACCTCAAACTCTGGTGCCTCAGGGGCTGTTCGAGTTGAGAGTTCTGGGGTGGGTCACATGAGGCTACAATTTGCTGAATTAAGACCCTCCCCAAAAAACAAAAATCCTTATAAGGGCAATATAGGGATTGGTCTTCTGCGTCTTTGGTGGAGAGCCAAGGCACGAACATGAAGTTCGGGTGGCGACCGGACATGCCGGATCACCGCGACCTCCGCGTGACCTTCGACAAGGTGGATGCGCCCAGCGACATCAAGAAGAAGTCGGAAGGAGACGCGGTCTGCAGATGGTATAAAGTCTACTAGGTAGGGCCTTGGGACGTGTTGAATGCTGTCATTTGTTTTTTTTGGGTTTACAGGGATCATCGAATTTTTCAGAGGGCTTTAGGGCCATCCGAGTTGATGGCCCCGGGTGAACCCTGATAGTGCCCAGACCCTGTAGCCACCTTGCTTCGCCACTTCTCGGGTCCAGCGGCAGTGCAGAAGTGAACATGTGCCATATAAAAGGTTAGACGTCCGAAGTTCGAAGCACGCCCCAGTGAAACAGTTTGTATCAGTTTGTTCAGTACGTGATATGTCAGAAGCTGTGCTGAGGAGAGAAGGAGCTCATCGACCTCCGCCCCATGAATGGCGGCTTCCCCATCTTCGACCAGGGACACCTCGGAAGCTGCACAGCAAACGCTTTGGCAGCTGCCTTCCACTTCACTCTGCACAAGATGACGGTGGAGAATCACAAGGACTTCGCCGACTTCACCCCTAGCCGGCTGTTCATCTACTACAACGAGCGCTTGGTGGAGGGCAGCGTGAACCAAGATGCCGGTGCGATGATCCGTGACGGCATCAAGGTGATGTCCAAGGTTGGCGTTTGCCCGGAGAGCGTCTGGAAGTACGATGATGGCCCCAACTTCTTCAAGCAGCAGCCAGATGACAAGGCCTACGAGACGGCGCAGAAGTGCAGGGTCATGGGCTACGCCCGCGTGGCACAGGACCTGACCCAGTTCAAAGCGTGCCTAAAGAACGGCTACCCCTTCGTCTTCGGTTTTGCCGTCCTGTCAAGCTTCCAGACAGCGGAGGTTGCCAGGACCGGCAAGATGGTGATGCCCCAGGCGACTGACCAGCAGCTGGGTGGGCACGCCGTGTGCGCCGTGGGCTACGACGACTTCCAGCAGTGCTTCATCGTCCGCAACTCCTGGGGAGAGGGGTGGCTTGTCCGAGTGTTTCATTACGGTCAGGTCTTGGATTGTTGGCCGCCATTTCTGCATGCTTCGAATGTTTCAATGTTTCCGACTCATGCTGCTAAGTTGGGCACATCTCCCTGGTGTGAGTCTCATTTGGCCTCCTGTGCTGCTTAATTTTGTCAGGTGGGGCGACAAGGGCTACTTCTACATGCCATACGAGTACATGTGCCATCCGGCTCTTGCCTCCGACTTCTGGGCCATCAACTGGGTTGAGGGCTTCAAGAACACCAGCAGCATGTCAGAGAGTGGCAAGTTGCAGGTGCCGAGACATCCGGGTGCCGTGTCCCTTCCATTGCGCACGAACATGAAGTTCGGGTGGAGACCGGACATGCCAGACCACCGCGACCTGCATGTGGCCTTCGACAAGGTGGATGCACCCAGCCACATCAAGAAGAAGACCGAGGGAGACTTGGTTGGCCAGTAATTGCCTGATACGGTCTGTTTCGTTGGGTTGCTCGGTGGCTTAGGTTGTGGCTTTCAAGTAAGTTCTCTCCGTGTCGTGTCACAGTGCACGAGTGCCCAGGAGCGAAGGAGCTCATCGACCTCCGCCCGATGAACGGCGGCTTCCCCATCTTCGACCAGGGACACCTCGGCAGCTGCACAGCAAACGCTTTGGCAGCTGCCTTCCACTTCACTCTGCACAAGATGACGGTGGAGAATCACAAGGACTTCGCCGACTTCACCCCCAGCCGGCTGTTCATCTACTACAACGAGCGCTTGGTGGAGGGCAGCGTGAACCAAGATGCCGGTGCGATGCTGCGTGACGGCATCAAGGTGATGGCTAAGGTTGGCGTTTGCCCAGAGAGTGTTTGGAAGTATGATGACAAGCACGACTTCTTCAAGCAGCAGCCGGATGATAAGTCCTACGAGCTGGCGCAGAAGTGCAAGGTTATCGGCTATGCTCGCGTGGCGCAGGACCTGAGCCAATTCAAGATGTGCATCAAGAGCGGCTACCCCTTTGTCTTCGGCTTCGCCGTCCTGTCAAGCTTCCAGACAGCGGAGGTTGCCAGGACCGGCAAGATGGTGATGCCCCAGGCGACTGACCAGCAGCTGGGTGGGCACGCCGTGTGCGCCGTGGGCTACGACGACTTCCAGCAGTGCTTCATCGTCCGCAACTCCTGGGGAGAGGGGTGGCTTGTCCGAGTGTTTCATTACGGTCAGGTCTTGGACTTGTTGCCGCCGTTTCTGCGTGCTTTAAAACATGTTTCCTCATCATAGTCCGGCAAAGTTCTTTCAGTCCAGTACAGACACATGTCCTATAGGCGGAAGTCTGTTTTTGGCCGCTTAGATCAGTCAGGTGGGGCGACAAGGGTTACTTCTACATGCCCTACGAGTACATCTGCCACCCTTCCCTGGCCCACGACTTCTGGGCCATCAACTGGGTCGACGGCTTCAAGAACGCAAGCACCAAGAACCCAATCAAGAAGTGAAGGGCAGACTTCGTTTCTTTGACTCGGCCTGTATAACAATAAGGTACAGACCAGTCCCGGTTGCACGACCACTTGGCTATCCCCGGAGGGGTCTGCTGGATGGTCGTAGCCTCCCTGCCACGTGCGGGAATTTAACTGTGTAAGTCTACTCTACAGGATTGCCTCAATCTCAATCACGTGATTCTCACGGTGATGTCTTCTGGATGCTCGTTTCCGTACTGGACGCAGCTACATGAGGGCGTTATATCAGGATCAAATTTTGTCGCCGTAGTCGACAACCCTTTCGACATTGCGAGAACATGCCGGGCGCCTGCGGCATGATCACGGTTGCAGGTGGCATTCCCCTGAACCCTAAACCCTAAACCCTAAACCCTAAACCCTAAACCCTAAACCCTAAACCCTAAACCCTAAACCCTAAACCCTAAACCCTTGGGACCATGTCGCAGCGTTTAGGGCCCATGGGGCCTGCGGCTTATCGGGGTCAGGGCCCAGGGATAGGCATTTAGATGTTTGTTGTGATTCCCAGGGTGCAGGCCAGTGGAGGCATCTAGGTTTAGGGTTTAGGGTTTAGGGTTTAGGGTTTAGGGTTTAGGGTTTAGGGTTTAGGGTTTAGGGTTAGGGTTTAGGGTTTAGGGTGTTAAGCTCCTTAGGGTTTACATCTATACTTGTTTTCGACATTCAGAGGGTTTAGGTTTCCGGGGAACGTTTTGACATTGGAGTAGTCGTGCAAACAAGCAAAACCCCGGACCCTAAACCCTTAGCCCTAAACCCTAAACCCCAAACCCCAAACCCTAAACCCCAAACCCTAAACCCTAAACCCTAAACCCTAAACCCTAAACCTTTAGCCCTGCAGAGGTGCAGTTGCAGATCAAGCCGCGGGAAGGGGGCGAGTCCATTGCCGCGGCCTCAGAGCGCAGCGCCCTCTCGTACCATGGAGGTTTAGGGTTTAGGGTTTAGGGTTTAGGGTTTAGGGTTTAGGGTTTAGGGTTTTGGGTTTTGGGTTTTTGGGTTTAGGGTATGGGGGTCGGAATAATTACGAACGGTATTCCCTTATAGTCCCTTTGTAGTTTTCACTAGAATAACTCGTAGAGTTTAGGGTCTAGGTTATAATAGGGGTCGGAGTAGTTACAATTAGTAAGCCCTTCTGGCCTCTTTATAGTTATCCTAAAATGACTCCCCAAAAAAGCCCTATTCCATTTATTATGGCCCCTATATTGCACGACTCCCCCGCCCCAATTTCTTGTCCGTAAGGGTCCTAAAGGCTGAAGCTATACGGTGGCCCCCTGAGGATACGACGAAGGGTGTTGCTTTGCAAAAAATGCTCAAAACAAGTTGGAGGGGAAGGAAGGAAGAGGTTCTTAAGGTTAAACTCTAAACCCTCTGAGTGGGATTTCCTTCTCCAGTACGCCCAGGGTCTGAGCTACATTCGGCTGAAAAATCTGAAGCCCCATGTCCTCGCCCAACCCCAATGTTTCGCCCCCAAACTCAAAGCCCTAAACCCTAAACCCTAAACCCTAAACCCCAAAGCGAACCCCGTGGCCTCAATGGACCCTTAACTTCAGCTCTCAGAGGCATTTATTCTGCCATTACCCCTCAGCTTGCAACCCTCCGCCCTTAACCCCCCACCCTTCTTCCGTTGAGGAGTTTGGGCAGATAAGCCCCAAAATCTTCGAGCTAAGCCCTTGTTCTCTCCTTCTTTGCTTTCGGGGTTTTTGGGACCCGACCTTCAAACTTAAACCCTAAACCCTAAACCCTAAACCCTAAACCCTAAACTTCCCTAAACCCTAAGCCCTAAACCCTAAAACCCTAAACCCTAAACCCTAAACCCTAAACCCTAAACCCTAAACCCTAAACCCTAAACCCCAGTGGTTTTAGGGTTGATCTGTCTGAGGCCGGATCCAGCGATGCATTCCAAGTCTGGGCCCCTGGGGAGCCTGGGGAATGCGCCGCCAGGGCTTATTTTTTGGGGTTTAGGGCTTAAGGGTTAGGGTGTAATTAGGTGTAGGGTCTAGGTTGAAGGGTTCAGGGTGTGGGGTGTTTATTCAGGTGCAGGGTTTCGGTTTGTTGTTTGGGGTGTAGGGCTCTTGCTCACTGAGTTTGTTCCGTTTTCTGGGGAGGGGGGTCCAGTCCTTGGGGAGGGGAGGAGGGGAGTGGCAGCTGCCTTAAGCCTTGTATCCCTCAACCGCTCCCAAACCCGAAGCCCTGAACCCTAAACACCCAAACCCCTAAACCCTAAACCCTAAACCCCAAACCCTGGTCCTACCCAGTCCCAGAGAGGCAGCATGTCTTCTGATGATATGTCTATCGCGAACGAACCCTCAGCCCTACTGCCCTCCGCTACAGGCCCCGAAGCCGGAACCCCGCAGCCCAAAACCCCCAAACCCTTAAGGATGTAGGGTTTAGGGTTTAGGGTTTAGGGTTTAGGGTTGAGGGTTTATGCATGCGGTCTTGCTGGTTGTCTCGAAGAGGCTTCTTGGTTTAGGGTTTAGGGTTCATCCGCAAGAACATTGGGCCCCTGAAGCCCCATAGCCTTACTCCTGAACCAAGGTCATGCCGCAGGAACTGGTCATTTCTCCACACGACTCCCGGCAGATCCAGGCGGGACCGCTTAGGGCTTTTTGTTTAGTTCTTTTGTTAAAGGTTAGGGCCTGTGTAACGTTGCAGGTTTTTGAGAAGGCTTTTATTTGGGTTGTTTCGGCGACCGTATGCTATAGACTGCAATTGTAGTTCCTTTCTTTGGGCATCTCGTTTTGTGGCGAGGATTCCCACCTCCCCGAAAACACCCTGAACCCTCAACCCTGTCTTTTCTCAGGACCTTACTTAGACGATGGTTCCCAAGAACTGCAGGGCCACACTGTAGGGGATACTAGGGGGGAAAAACCCTTGGAAGAGACTCTTGGTCCTACTAGCCCATATGACGCTGATAAGAGCTACATGAGGTAGGGTGTGTGTGTGTGTGTGTGTGTGTGTGTGTGTGTGTGTGTGTGTGTGTGTGTGTGTGTGTGTGTGTGTGTGTGTGTGTGTGTGTGTGTGTGTGTGTGTGTGTGTGTGTGTGTGTGTTGTGTGTGTTGTGTGTGTGTGTGTGTTGTGTGTGTTTGTGTGTTTGTGTGTTGTGTGTTTGT